ATGCCTGGCTCACCTCCTGGTTTTATTTAAACTTGCTGTTTTCCCAGATAGCTCACTATATCATAACCTGAAAGGACTTGTACTAGCCACCTCCCACATTCCTACAACACCACCTCTAGCCATGGTTGCCTCACCCATGTTGCTCCTACTGCCTGGGCCAGCCTCATTGTCACCTTTGTCTTCCCCAGCTTCATCTAAGTACCATGGCACTGTCCCATTCAGAAATCTTTCCCTTATTTATGTGCCTCACACTTAGACACACACACTTACACAATACTCATATATAGAGAGACGCACTCATACATGTACATACAAACAGATACATGCAAGGACACACAGAGACACACACAGGGTACATACATAAACTCACAAAGACACACAGAGATACACAGAGAGCCACACTCATACATATACATACTCACACACAAACATATGTCCCAGGTAGATATGCACAGATAACACACAGAGATAGACTCATATATACACACCTACACACAGACACAGAGACACACTAATGTCTCTGCGCATGGATACATAGGTACACACCCGGACATGCACACACGCTGTGTGTCCTCCTGTGGCTGCCATTCACATTCTCTCAAAGGATCTTGGCCAGCATTCACCCCTGGTACTAGACTGGATGTCTGCAGGGTACCTGCTATGCTGGAAGTCCTGGAGGGCAGGGACCATCTCTGCTCTTTTGGTACCCAGTTTGCAGCTGTGCACTACCAAGAACCTATCAGAATGCCTGGCTTGCAAGACTGTAGTGGAGCAGCCCGAAGCTCTGGTGCCAGGCTTTGGTACGGTGGGGAGGACAGAGGGTGTGTCTGTGAGCTGCCCTGACCTCGTGCCTCACCTGGGGGATAAACACTAATCCAGGAACAATATATTAATCCAGTGTCCCTTAGTATCTGCAGGAGATTAGTTCCAAGACCCCTGTGAGATATAGAAACCTTCAGATGCTCAAGTCTCTTATGTAAGATAATGTATAACTTGCACACACCCTCCTGTGTACACACACCCTCCTGAGTACTTTCAATTGTCTCTGGATGACTTCCACACCTAATACAAGGTAAATTGCGGTGTAAATTGTTGTAACTGTGCTGCTCAGAGAATAATGACAAGAGAAAAAGCCTTTGCGTGTTTAGTGCAGATGCAATGTTTTCCCCAAATATTTTCCGTCCACTGCTTGTTGAATTTGTGAACATGGAACCTGTAAATACTGAAGACTGACTGTTTTATTATTTTAGAGTGTTTTGCTATTTTGGATGAATTAAAATGAAATCTCATTGCTTTAACTTGGCTTTTCAAGAGGCAGAATAGCAGAGGCATTGAGAGGTCACCGCACTTGACCTCAGGTGTTAGTTGCTGATCCATGCATAGTTGCTACGTCTCTGCATCTGAATCAAATGTATTGCTTCACAAAGGGGTTTCTCCTCAGGATTTCTGTGGGTGAAACACACATATGTCTGATTTTGTTTTTATTCCTTTGTAGGTACTGCATCAACTTCCATGATCAGTAAGTACTTTGAAAAGAACTGCATTGATTTATACTTTATTTTTTCACCTTACTCAGTTATTTCTATCTTAAGGATAATTCAAATGTCATGACTAAACCCATCAAGAAGTAGATGCTGCCCCATTGAACTTTAATGAACAATATGAGGACTGCATGAAAGTATATTCGTATCCCTTCTAGAAATGTAAAGGCAATAAGTGGACCATGTGGTAACAGAGTCATGTTCTTCATCAATTTTATCTTGCCTGTACCTAAAATTTCAGTGTATATCAAAACCACGTAGAGAATTCGAATGAAGGTCCTTGGCATTCACCTCCCTGCCTCGAGAGATCCTGACTTGGGGACCTAAGATAGGGCTCAGCAACCTGACGTTCTTCAGGTCCACAGGGCTAGACTGCCCACATCACCTTGGGAAACTCCCCTGTTTGTCCCAGTACTGACTTTGACTCCTTGATGTAGTTATGGAAACACTACTTTGCTAAGACTTTCCAAAGAAAATGACAAGGGATAAATATGTATGCTTTTTCTTATGGGCATGGTACTGGGGTTTGAAGTGGGCTTCATGCTTGCTAGGCAGGCTCTCTATCATTTGTCCACACCCCTGGCCCTGTGGACATATTTTAAGTGCTATGTATTTTTATCTGTCTGTCTGTCTGTCTGTCTATCTCTGTGGCACTGGGGTTTGAACTCAGAGCTTCATGCTTGCCAAGCAGGCATTCTATCGCTTGAGCACACCTCCAATCCATTTTGTTCTGGTTACCTTTTTGGAGATTGGGTCTTGGGAACTATTTGCCCAGGCTGGCCTTAAACTGTCATCCTCCGGATCTCAGCCTCCCAAGTAGGTAGGATTACAGGTGTGAACCACTGGCACCTGGAATTTTGTTTATTATGTCTAAAATTATTGACCACCTCATCTCCAACCAATTTGCTTGAACTGTTAATACAAAGCACTTTTAACAGTAATGTTGGAGGTGCACATACCCAAGATTGAACCACAGCGCCCCCTGGCAGCGTTGCAGGGGAAGTGGAAGCCATTTTCTGTGACCTATACTAAGGAGATTACTTTTCTTGAGGACCTCTTGTCTAAGATGAATTTGTTTTCTGTCTAGGTGAACAGATCTCACGGTCTGCAGCATATGATAAGACCTTTTCCCTTCTGCTCTTTTTCTCAGAGATTTGATTACTGGTTGTGGTGATCCTATGTGGCAGCAGAACAAAATGCCTGCTTTTCAGATAGAATGGGGACAGGAGATGTGGGCGCCCAGCCCCTGGCATGCCACAGCGTACACTAGGCCAATCTCATCTGTCCTTCTCTTTCTTAGTTCTCTCTGTCTCTCAATCACTGGGTAGATGAAGTTAGTTTCAGCCTAGCGTCAGAAGAGATAGTTGAAAACGTATTCCATACAATAAGGACAGTTCTCTCAAAGGTGAACACCACCTGCCAAGCACTAGTTATGTACTTGCACAATTATTTTCATGCATTGAAGGAGTTAATTTAGCCTAGACACGGTGGCTCACATGTGTAATCCTAGCTACTTGGGAGATGGAAGTTGCGAGAATCATAGTTTGAGACCAGCCAAGGAAAAAAGTTAGTGAGACCTCCACCTCAATCAGTAGCCAGTGAATGGTGGCACCTTCTGGTCATCCCAGCTATGTAGGAAGAGTAAATAGGAGGATCACCATGCAGGGAAAAACGTGAGACTCCATTCAAGAAAATAACTAGCAGAAAGGGCAGGGAGTATGGCTCAAGTGGTAGAGCACCTCCCTTGCAAGTGTGAGGCCCTGAGTTCAAACTCCAGTACCACCAAAAAAATGAGTTCATATATAGAAACTTTAAAATACTGCCTGTCATATCTTAAGTGCTCAACTAATGCAAGTAGTAAGTGCTATTATCATGAAATCTTTCCAACAATTCTGGGTACGTAACATTGGGCCCATTTTGCAGATAGGAAAAGGAGGGCATGGTTAGGTAATTTGTCAATACTTATATGTCTAAGGTCTCATGGGTGTAAGTGTCAGGGCAGAGATTTTTTTCCCAGTGGACAGGGCAGAGATTTGAACACAGGACTGGTCTACCATCTATGGCTCTTCTTAACAAAGACCACCTCTTGCACTCTGCACTGCGAGTGTGTAGACCTCTGTGCCCAAGTGTGACATGTTAGTGTCACTAGGACAACTGACTTGGCATTGGGTCCCAGGAATGTTGAGGGCAATCCCTCCTTTTCCAGGACATACCTTGAAAGATGTAGAAATGTCCTGGGAGGGACTTGAGGGCCACTTATTGATTGAACCCCCAGCACTGACCAGGCTGAGGCAAGGAGACTGAGAGCCCTTCTTGAGGGACATTCGTGGAAGCAACCAGAAGGAAGTAGCAAGAAGGGCTCAGCAGTCCCAGAAGATACCTTGGGAATACCCCGAAAATGATCAAATTAGCCTCTGCTCCCTCTTCCCATGAATCCTCCTTCCACAACAATGGCAACCACCTGCCCCCTTCTTTGCATCCCATTCCAAACTGTCACTTTCTGACCACAGATTTCTCATTCCCAAATTAACCTTTAAAAATTCACAAGCAGGATCCAGCTCTTGCTGTTTGGATGCTGGGCTGGATCCCCAGGACCTATGTCGATTTCCTTGCATAATCAGGGTAGCTTTACACTGTGGGTGACTGTAAGGCATCATGACAGGCAGAAGCATGGCGCTTGCTGACTCCCCAGCCCTGGCATCTTCACGGAGGGGGAGGAGGTTGGAAGGGTAGGTTGAGGCCCACTCTCAGAAGAATGCCATTGTGTACTTGACCCTAATGGGGGTAGAGTCCATTGAAGCATTTTAAACAAGGAAGTAACTTGTATATATTTGAACTTTGAAAAGGTAAAACTTGGGGGCCACTGGTGGAGACTGATAAATCCTTATAGGTTGGGAATGGTGCAGAATAAGCCCCCCTAAAGGCTGGTTGGATCAACGAATGTAGATGCATTTAGAGAAGGGAGAATCAGAGATAGATCAAGAGCCCTTGGAGTAGAGTGGTTCAAGAGGATGAAGATCTCAGCTAGTGAAATGGCAGTAGAAATAAAAAAGAATGAGTGGCCTTGGTGATACATAGGGTAGAGAGATGGAGGGAAGCAGGAACCAAACACAATGGCCAAATTTCTAGCCCTCTTGCTGTGGCACATGGCAGTATCATGGATCCCAATGGAGGAAACAGACTGTAGAGTTTGGACAACACCAGTGAGTATGGGACATCCCAGAACCACTACAATATAGGCTGGGACTCTCAGAGCTGAGTCAGGACTGGAGGGATGGTTTTCTCTGTCTGGAAGGTCCTCAGAAATTCTCTGGTGGGGTGGTGGGGGAGTGAGAAAAGAGCAAAGACTGTGACCTTAAGATCCTTAGGGGAAGAATTGGTGAAGGAGACAGTGCAGGGGGTTGAGAGGAAGGAAAAGGGGAGCCCTGGATATTGTAGCCACCAAGCAGAGGGTAAGAGATGAGGACTTCCTACTGTGTCGATGCAGGTTTGCCACTGAGGTTGGTGAATGGCGGTGACCGGTGTCAGGGCCGGATGGAAGTCCTGGACCAAGGCTACTGGGGCACTGTGTGTGATGACAACTGGGATACCCAAGATATAGATGTTGTCTGTCGACAGCTTGGCTGTGGTCATTCTCTGTCAGCACTGGGTGGGGCTCACTTTGGTCAGGGCTCAGGGAACATTCTCTTGGGTGCCATTTACTGCTCGGGATGAGAGCCCTACCTGTCAAGCTGCCGCCACGACGGGTGGTACAACCATGACTGTGGCCACAGGGAAGACGCTGGAGTCGTGTGCTCAGGTAGCTCAGCTATTGCTTCCTGCTGTTGCATGTGCATGCCAAGGGAATATCATGTGTGTGTGTGTGTGCACGCATACTGCAGTTTACTTGCTCTGCTGTACATGACTTATTTGATGTTATAGGACAGATATTGCTGTCCCTTTTCACAGACAAAGGCATTGAGGCTCAGAGAGGTCAAGGGACCTGCCTATTGTCCAAAGCCTTGTTCCCCTCCAAGCTTGTTATGCCATCATCAGTGGGCTGTCTCTAAGGAGTGTTATTGGGACCATCCTGGCCTAAGTGACAGCTTCTCTTCCTTTAAAGGTGGAAGAGGATGAGGCAACTACTGGCCTTTACTACTTAGTGTTCTCTGTACTGGGGATTAAACGACAAGCAAAAGACATTAAATTGTCAGTGGAAAGGAGGAATTGTCCCTGATTTCACCCAGTGAACCCCAAAGCTGTGTTTGGCATCCATTCTAATGGTGCTAGTACGTGTTTGAACACAAGGTGTCCTTCAATCTACAGAGAAAGCACGCCCCCAGAATGCAGCCTATGTGTATCCCACAAAGAGGGGTTTTTTGTGAAACTGTCCACTGATACTTGCCAGGTGGTCTGGACTGAGCGCATGCCATCATGCACGGGATGCGACTATGATACTCCAACCTCCATCAAAAATGGCTAACTGAGGTAGTGTGGTCTTTCAAGCAGCCACTTTGTGAGTGGGTTTACTTTGGCATTCCAGAATGCATCTCTGGAAATGTCCTTTCTTCCTGGTTGGGGATACCTTTTTAGGAATATGTCAGTGATGGCAAAGAGTTGTCATTTGAGGGTGTCATTTGGTAGCAGAAATCGCCAAATGTCATTTGAAATAAAATCTGGTGTCTAGGATGAGGCTGTGAATGAATTGCGTAGTATTTTTTGATGGAGACTAGAAGCAAAGGAGGTGGAGGATGGTGATAGAAACAAAAGATGCTCATGGTGGCATCCCAGTGGCAAAGGGAAAGAGCACTCAGTGTTTGGTTTCACAAAGAAAAATCATAGTATTTCAGCAATGGAGGAGGATTTGGGGGTGTGCTTCCAGTCTTTGCTTCCCAGCTGAGGAAGCAGAGGACCACCCCTTCTCATATGAGGCCTGACATCAAATGACCTCATCCTTTCTCCACTCTGTAGGTAGTTTGCCTTGCCTTCCTCCAAGGCATTATTCACACCCAGTGAGGGTAATGTCTGTTGTGTGGGATCCCTGTGGGCTCACTGTCCCCTTGTACCCATAGGCTCATCTCTGATCCAGAAGAAGGGCATACAGCATAGGAGATGGGATGCTCAGCTCCCCAGGAGGCCTCAGCTCTGAACAAGCATCTCTCCCATGGATCTTGTCCCTGGGATGGGGAGGCTTCTCCAAGGAGCTCCAAGGTGGAGCCTGGGATCTTGTCCCTAGCACAAGCTCAGTCCTCTGAGGTCCTTGCCCATCCATGCTGACCCATGGCTAGTCTAGAGAGCTGGGTCTCTGGCTGCAGTACCTGGAGAGGCAGGTACAAACCCGCCCAGGTAGCATCCTTGCCCCTTCCCTTTCCCTGAACCCTTGTGAAGCCACCCTGGAAATCATCATCCTTCAGCCTGGGGCACCAGACATCCTCCATTTCCCCCTGGTGCACTTCCAGTAAAAGATTTGAGATGCAGTCAATGTAGCCTGAGATTCTGGCAGCCTGGTTGTTGGGAAAGGAAGTCACTTCCCTTTTCCCATGGGAACTGTTGGGAACAGAAGTCCCTGGGACAAAATCAAGGGCAACTTCCACATCAAGTTTCCTGGTCATGGGTCTGTTGGGAAGGGAATCCCTGATTTTACCTTCTCTTTCTCTTCTCTATAGTTAAGGAAAGAGATGTCACAAGAGCTGAGAATGGCATTGGATTTATTCTAAATTACCCATGTCCCTTTCCAAGATACTAACTTTTCTTATTTACAGCATCTATAAGAGGAGAACCTGTTCTCTCCTCTGTAGTGGTTTCCCCTGAGGGTACTGTTTGGTAGCAGAAATAGCAGCAGGGCCTGACAAGTCCTTTGCTGTAACTGGTAAACTTCAGTCAGGAGTGAGGGGGTGGACCTGGCTGATCTGCCTGTGACACAGGGCTGCAGATAGGACTTTCCTAGAGCTGTTCCTGTCAGGACCTCCAGAATGGGGAAGGGTCAGTTTCTTCCACATCCAGAGGCCTTATGAAGAAGTCCAGCTGGTCACTCAGAGAGAAGCTGAGTGCCCTGTTACAGGGGGTTGGGGATAGCTCTCCAGTAATCTCCTATCCAAGCCCCAGCATTCAGTCCACTCTTGAAGGTGACCTGGACAAGTGCCAGGGTTTTAAGAGCAATTTCAATGCCAGTATCTTACTTAAAGGAGAAATATTAGAAATATTCCCACTAATATAAAAAACAAGGTTATCCAGGCATGGTGGTGTATGCCAATGATCCCAGCAGTCAATGGGCTGAGGCAAGAGGATTGAGAGTTTGAGGACAGCCTGGGCTACACATTGAGACCCTGTCTCAAACAAACACTGAAAAGAGCCCAAGGTGAGTATGCCCTCCAATCCCCACTATTCAATATTTTATTGGTGATACCAGCCAATGCAATTAGATAAGAAAAATCAATTAGAAGTATAAGGATAGGAAAAGTTATTCATCCCCTGTAACCTTTCATAGGTTACATGTAGACATGACAGAATCAGAGTCAGTAGGTTGATGCAGAAATATTTTAATCCCCAAATAGTTTTTTTGAATTAAAAAACTCAAGGCAAGACAGATTTATTGACTTTTCCAAAGTCACAAAAGCAATACAAAATCTAGAGCAGGAATATCATCTGAACAGATTTCAGTTTACAAGTCTTGATGCTTCTTAGAGTAGACTTACCATTATGTGTTTTATTTTCTTCTGTTTGCTTTTCATCATTTACAATTATAATATGCAGCAGTGACCACAACACATCCTGAGACTGCTAAATCAGGTAGAGAACAATTTAGTATGAGTCCCTCTCTGTAAGTCATGATGGCTATCATGTGTTTAACTTTTAGGAGATGGGGCAAGTAGATGTGGTAATAATGGAGATAATAATAATAAAAATCAGAGGGAGATGCATTCTGAACATGAGGACTTGAGTTAAGGGACCTCCATCATTGCCCATGATGGGAAGGAGTCAGTCTTCAAGAACATGGGGGCTTTAAGGCAGAGATCAGGGGGATCAATTCTCCAGTTCAGAGTAAAGCTTTCCTCTCTGTAACTGTACTCACCCCAAACGATTTTGGTCCCTGGATATAAGACCAGGAGGAACAAGTGAAAATGTGTTCTAAGCAAAGCCTAGATCACCAAATCATATCAGAGTTCCTCACAGGACATCCTAGTGTCAGCAGGTTTAACTTCAGCAGAGAGCCACATGGCTCCCCAGTTGAGGGAAATGGACCCCTGCCTGTGATCTGCTAAGGGTTCCTGTAGACAGTCTCTAGCCACTTTTGGATGCAATCTAGGAGGAGTAGTTTCTACCACTAAAAGGCCTAACATAATTCTGGTGGTGCCCCGCACTTGCTCACTTCTTTTCTGCCTCTTTCAGGTACAACACTTGAAGAGTCAACCGCAGTGGAAGCAGGTAATATCCCCCACGTTCTCTCTTAAGATCACAAAAATCATTTCACTATAGGGTTAGTGTTGACTCAGATGATCTTTCTGAAAGGTGCCCAGGGTTTGGAACCAGTGTTTTTTCAGGACGTTCTGCTCCGAGTCATCTTAAAGTTGTCCCATGCATTAACAGTGAGGAGCTTGGGCAAGGACAGAAGCTCTGCTGACAGTAGGCTTGCTTAAACACTTTGAGTACCTGAATCTGAACTCTACTGACCTGTTAGCCTCAGCATAGTCCAGGGGACCAACAATGACAAAGCCTGAAGTTATGTATAGCCTGCATTCTGACATTAACGCAAATTGCAAATGAATCTATGTGGCCACCTCACCCTGCTCTGAAGGATGAAGAATAGGCGATTTTATTCACAATTAAATCATTTTGTGCCTGGACCTGAAAAGAGATTTCTGATGAGAGCTTCCAGCCTCTCCTGTATGAGCACATGGCAACAGACTTGGCCAGAGACTCAGAGGATTTCTCTTCTGCCTAGGAGGCTCATTATTTCATCCCTTCCTGAGGTGGACTTTCTCACCTCAGGGCATCCATTTTCCTTCTCCTATGTTGAAGTGCTGGTGTATGGCTGGCTACATGCAGATGCACACGCATGTGTGTGTGGTGCACTCTTGTGTGTTAGGAGTAGGAATGGCTCTGGTTCCCTCATCTTTCTTGAATCATCCTGATTCACACACATCTGCTTCCAGAGAGGCCCAGGCAGGTGCCTGGCTAGACATGATGAAAGTTTCTGGTGCATTCGTCACCACTAACCTGATTCTGCCTTGGTCTACTCTCTGGAGAGCCTCAGCCTCTGTCTCCAAATGGAGTCTGGACAATGATAACAGATGGGACAGTGAGGTCATGATCAGTGGATAAAGGGGCAGAGGTTTTCTAACTAAGAGAAAAAGTCTTAAACTGAAAGAGATGGAAGGGCCAGTGTGATGGTCAGAAGAGCCTTTGTCCCATTGAGGACCTGAGAAAGAGAAGCCTGTGCAGACACACAGACATGGAAATGTCATGAAGCTTTCCTGGTGCAGAAAACTTTTGGTTTTGGCCTTTTCCCTTCAAGTCTAATTTTAGCCTTTCTCTTCATTGCTATCCACTGGCACATGGCCAACCACAACCATACCTGTTCTCCATCAGGCCTGAGCTCACTTTCTACCTCTGGAATAATTAGGCATTGCAAATGATGGGATAAGGCTGAAGGTGGGTCCCTGCTGTACCAGGTCCATGTGGGCTGGGTGGTGAAGATGGAGTCTTTGAAGGCCAAGTCCTTGGTATGATACTGGGTTGGCTGGGAGAGGGAGGGGATGACCTGTGTCTAGTGGGATCCTGTGTGAGGAGCTTCTCCAGGTACTCAAGATGAGCCCTGGAGATCTCGATAATACTGCTGGGAGCTTGGATTGGAGAAGTTTTGAGGACCACACCTGTAGTTGACTTTTCTGAGTTTGGGCTCCTGATCTTTAATTTTCTGATTGTAAAACTCAATAAGAACTAGATCAAGTGAACTTGGTCAATGCCATGCTGAGAACTGTTGTAATAGAGACTGTCATCCAGTCCTTACCCTGCAGTTTCCAGAGAAAAACATGTTCTCTCTTCATCACTTAGTTTAGTGGGAAGAGCTGTCCAGCATCCAAAATATGAACAAAACAAGGTCACGTGGCCTTGTCAGGCTGCCATCAGTATGAACACCTTCCCCAGTGAGATCTCTCTTTACATGTTCCCTTCTTTCCGTTCTCTCACAGATACAACACTTATTGGAGAATCAACCATAGCATCAACAGGTACTAAAGTCACAAAAATCTGTGATGTCTAGGATTATTGTTGAGAAGATCAAACTTTGGGCTTACAAGGAACAGTAAAAGATTATCTTCAAGAAGGGTCTCCAGGCATGGAAAACATGGGTGGAACCCATATTGTTTTGGGGGTCTTGCTATGAGTCTCATCTCAACTCTTGTGGTCCCTGGAAGTCTAGCTGACTTGGCCATCTGTACTCAAGGCCTTGATTGCAAGATGGAAGCAGGGATATTTGACTGTGATTCAGAGCATATTAGCCCAGGTCATGGCTGTTGGCAGAGCCATTGCCATCTTGGTGACAGTCACATTTAAAGTCTGGAGCTGGTGTAGACATGTTAATGAAGTTGGGAAAATGAAGTATCAGGGATGAGTACAGGGTGCCCTAGGTTCAGGAAGGGTAGAAGCTCATAAACCATATGCTGTATGGACTTCAAACTGCATGAGGGTGGTTGGCCAATGGGATGTGATCTTGGCTACATACAAACCACATGACCTGGACCATCCACACAGAAAACATCACTGAATGAGAAATCCGTGTGTCTTCTTTAGGAACAGATTCTGTTTTGGCCTTGAGGCTGGTGAATGGTGGAGATCGGTGTCAGGGCCGTGTGGAGATCCTGTACCAGGGTTCCTGGGGCACCGTGTGTGATGACAGCTGGGACACCAATGATGCCAATGTGGTCTGCAGGCAGCTTGGCTGTGGCTATGCCATATCTGCCCTGGGAAATGCCTGGTTTGGTCAAGGCTCAGGGCCCATTGTCTTGGATGATGTGGCCTGCTCAGGGTACGAGTCCTACCTGTGGAATTGTCCCCACCGTGGCCTGCTCTCTCATAACTGTGTCCACCAGGAGGATGCTGGAGTCATCTGCTCAGGTGGGCCATCAGGAACCTAGGGCTCCCTCTTGGAAAAAAGTCCTTCTTTCAATTTGATTTCTCACTCAATGGTTTCTACACTGCTTATTTCCCTGTATTCTTTTCAGTCTTTTACAAACAGTGTGTTTTAGTTCTTAAAACATTGCTACTTATAGAAATGTGTAAAGAAGACACTGAGCCCAAGCTTAATGTAGCATTTGACCCCTACTGGGGCAGTACAAACAAGAGCCAAGGAGAAAAACCCAGGCCTCTCAGCTTCTTTTTACCCATGGGTGAGTGCCAGGAGAGGTGAGGTAGATGCACTTCAGAGTGAAGGAAGGACCCTAAGATCACTGAGAAGAGCCTGAATGAAAAAGTTCTGTTTGAGTCTATCATGGTGGTACATACCTGTAATCTAGGACTCAACAGGATGAGCTGGAGTATCATGAATTCAAGGTTGGGCTGGGCTACAAAGGGAGAAGTTGTCTCAAAAAACCAAGGACTGGGGATGTAGCTTAGTGGTAGAGTGCTTTCCTTGCATGCACATGGTCCTGAGTTACAACCATAGCCTTGTGGGAAAAAAAGAAGGTTAAGCTCAGTTGAGTAAGGTTGTCTTCAGCTGAGGCCCCCAAGGCAAGGGTCTTCACATGGAGGCCCATTGGCTAGGACTGCAGGCATGCATACCTGCATGGCTGGCTCAGGTTTGATGGACCTGTGTGCTTGACTTAGCTCCCTTCAGAGGATGCAGTGCACTGTCTGTGCACCCATCTTGTGTGGGGTAGGCAGCCCCTTGAGTCTTAGAAGGTCTCATGCAAGAATTTGACCTCAGATTGGCTCCCATTTAGTTGAATTATTGGTCAGCGACAGAATGCAAGGTAGGGAGTGGAGGGTTTGGTTCAGTTGGGTCAACAAATCCAGAAATTTTCTCCCCTTGAGGTTGGGAAGGGACAGGATCAACATAAACCCTTTGTAAGGCACACATTTCTAGCAGTTGGGTAGCAAACAACCCTCACTCTGAGGCAAGAGACAAGAATGATTGAATGCCTGACTTGCTGAGTCTATCCCTCCATGTTCAAGTTTTGCTTCCTTTAGTGCAATGCATCTGACCTGGCCTTCTCTTTCTCACAGATGCCACACAGCATTCTACACCTTGGCCCCCAACAGGTGAGTCCTGCTACTTCTCTATCTGCTGTGTATTCCCTCTCCTTCTGTCCCTTCTCTGCTACACAGCCCCAGCCAGTAGCTACAGAAGGAAACCATGGAGGGTTCTGGCTGTCCCAGAAACTTTGGCATTCTCCTTAAGGGATAGAGGTGGCACATGCTGAGTGCACAACAGGCGTGTTGCTCATTCTCTCTGCCCAATGGGATAAAGAAAGTCCCAGCTCCTGACCTGGGTTGCTAAATGGCCCTTAGCCTGTCCTTTTGGTAGAGAATGAGGTACTGTCCTGGAACGTTTTTGCTAGAAAGCATTGTCTTGTTCAAGAGCCACAGGGTGGGGACAACAGACACTCTTTTGTGTCATATGCCCTGACTATAGACGGAGGGATTGTTTTGTAAAATGCGTCCTTCAGGAGAATCGCAGCTACCCTCTGGGAACTGGGCCACTTCATTTTCAATGTGGTGGACATTCAAGGGCATGGCTTCCTGTCACTGGCTCTCTAGAAACGAATTTGCTTCCCCAGACACAGCCCTTCTCCACATCCTCTGTCCTGATCCCAGATATAGGCCTATGGACCCAAGTGTCACCCAAGCCCCACCCTTCTAATCCAGTTTTATTTTCCCCTCCAGATTGGTGGCATCCAACAACTATTATCTATGGTAAGCATCTTTGGATTCAGACAAAGCCTCAGCCTTCAGCACGCTAAACAACAGGTCTGGGGAAGTTTCCTGGGTCTTGTGTGAGGTCTCTGGCTTCATCCAAGTCAAGGGTTTTCTTTACTGACCACTGAAATTGTACTCTAAGGGAATAAGCTTGTCAGGTTGCTTTTATTTGTAAGTGATAGGAACCCAAAGTCTTACCTAAAAATGAATTTATTGGCTCTCATATCAGGGTGTTTGTGTTGGATCAGAAACTTCAGGTACCACTAGATCCAGAAGATCCAAGAGTTCTAGACATTTCTGTGCCCACTGTTTGTGTGGAAGGCTTCTCCATCATCTTGCTTTTTGTGCATGGGGGAAGACAGCATTTATTGGCCCCAAGTCTATATCTCCCCATGAAAAAGAGTTTATCTGACCCCATAGCTCTGGCTATTAAGGCCTGGGGAGACTCAATTGACCCTGTTGGCCACAGGTGCTTTCTCCAGAGCCATCTGAGTAACCTCATGGCCCATCTAGAGTTACATGTCTAATTCATATTTCACTGGATTGCGGGGGAGGAAGATGAGGTTCTTGTCCCTTCTTGAACCTCATAGGATATAGCTTTTGTGGTTTTTAAAAATAGGAATGAGGGTTTCTGTTTCAATAAAAACCAGGGAAGGAGGTTGAGACACAGAGAAAGCACTCTTTAGCTCTGCTTTCCTTCTTATGCTCTCTGCTGCATCCTGGCTTCCATTTACCCTCGAACCCTCCCCAAGTAGAACCTTTCTCTCTGTGAAATCCTCTCAGGAGTCTGAGGCAGGAGTTCAAGGCCAGTCTGGGCTGCATACTAACAATTTGTCTTAAAAAAAAAGAAAAATAAATAAAAGAATCCACTTGATGGAGCAATCCCCAGAGTGTTCATATGTTACAGTGAAAATATTCTGTGCCAAATATGGTGGAATGAGCTAACTACTCTCGCCACTTCTGGATATTACCTTGTTATCCAGACCTCTCAAGTACCTGAGAAACTCTGTAATAAGGAAGAGGACTTAGGGCCTCTAAAATGCTAGACAGATGGCAGCCCTTTGTGCCTGGTTATTTTTGAGATAGGGTCTTGTTTTATGCCCTGGCCAGTATGGACTGTGAGCCTCATTTATGCTTCCCTGTGTAGCTGGAAGATAGGCATGCATCACTGTGCCCAAGCCTTGGTTGAGATACAGTCTTATGAAAATTTTGTTTGGCCTGACCTCAGATTGCAATTCTTCATGATTCTCCCCACCCCAGGGCTAAAACTGCAGGCATGAACCATAGTACCCAGCTGATTTCTTTCTTTTCTTTGAGAGGCAGGGCTTTCTGGGGTATCATAGGCTAGCCTGAAGCTATCCATCCTCAGCCTCAGCCTTCCAGATGAAGGATTCAAGTTTGCACCCATCGTCAGATCAGAGAAAGGATTTAGCCAGATCTGTTAAGCTGATTACAGTATGAAAATCCTAAAACATCCTCCGTTTACTTTCTAGATTGGTTCACGTCAACATCTCCAAGCACTGCAAGTGAGTGTCACATTTTCCACCTGCAGCACAGAATCTGCATTTCTTTGTGCTATTTCTTTCTTGTTATTTGTTTGTCTTGTTGGAGATTTGAACCCAGGGCTTTGGACATTTTAGGCAGACAGTCCACCACTTGAGTCACACAATGAGCCCTTTGTGCTTTAGTTATTTTCAGATATTATTTCATGTTTTTTGCCCAGTGCCAGCCTGATCACAATTCTCCTACCTCTGCTTCCAGCATAACTAGGACCTCAGGAGCTTTTATGACACCTGGCTTGCTGGTTGAGATGGGGTCTTGATAACTTTTAGCCTTTCTTCAACTCAAATCAGAACACTCCCAATCTCCTCCTACTGAGTATGGGGGTTACAGGCAAGAGTCAAAGACCTGGATTTCTTAATCTTAAGCGTGGCCCATCATAAAGTTGAACTCACTCCTCAGCCCCCCCGGTTGTGCCAGCCACACTCTGTACCCGATCTTCATGTGCCCTCCTTGTCCCTCCTGCCAGGAGGATGACTTTAGCTTTGCATGTGGCCTTTTTCTGCTGCTTCATGTAATCTGATGACATAAGGATTCTAGAAAGAATAGACTTAGAAGATTTTTAAAATTCAAGTGTCTCTGAAGCTTTGCAAGGAAGAATAGAGATTAATGAATGGATCATTTCACACATAATCACCCTTTTCTATATAATTGCACACTATTTATATGTTTTAAAAGCTTTACACTCCTCTCAAAAGTGATATGCCTATGTTATGTTTTAATAGGTTTTTATCAGGATCCTTTTTCTTTCTGTTGGCTGCAGGCTGCTGTGATCCCCTCCTCTCCCACAGTGGAACCTTTCCTATGTCTGGTGTCCTCTCCTGTCACCTTGGACAAGGGGCTGGGCTGAGTGACTGTCTATGCAGGAGATCAGAGCACTCACTGTGTGCACTATCACGGCTGAAGGTTCTTGTTAGCAGAGTGAAAGCTTACCCCAACCGTGCGTGTGCATCAGACTTTCATTGCAGTGACAAGTCCATGAGAAACAGTTTAAGGTGGAGATTCATTTCACTCACAGTTTCAGTTTTCAGTCCCTTCTTTTGTGCCTGAAGTAAAGCAGAACATCATGGCGGAAAAACCTGGAAAGGAAAGTCTGCCAATCTCATGAGGAGACAGACAGAGAGAACAAGAAAGAAACAGAGGACAAGGGAGGAGGCAAGAGCGTGAAAGACTGAACATTTGTGAGAGTCAGAGAAGAAAAGAGAGAAAGACGGCCAGGAAGGGATGGAGGACAAGGTGTATCATTCCAGGGCATGCACCCAAGGAACTACTTCCTGTAGCTAGGTCCCATCTTCCAATAATGCCATCAAGACATTACTCCATTGATTAGGTGAGAGCCCTGATGTGCCAGTAAGTTCTTAATGTTTGGATCCTGCTGGGGCCCAAGCCTTGAACACCCAGTGGACAATTTCTATCCAACCATAGCAGTAAGGTCTTTCAGGAAGACAGGGATCTTGGTGTCATTGACTGATGTTGAGCAGAAACGGCCATAAATTCACTATTCCATCTCCCTGTGGGCTCCAGTCTCCTGAGAGAGCCAAGGCTCATCAGTAACTCCACACACTCCAGGAGGACATCATGAGATACTAGCTGAGGTGGGGACTGAAGATCCCATTATCTTCATGGTCCAGAACCCCTGACCAGATTGAGAGACTGGAAATCAGTGTGTACAAGTCAGTGAAGCCCAGAGACACAGGGAAAGGTCTTTCTCACTAGCGAATAATACCTCACTATGATTTGAAAGCATTTTTGACCTGACTGGTGATTTCTCCCTCTAGGCACGGATTCTGGCTTGGCCCTGAGGCTGGTGAATGGTGGAGACAGGTGTCAGGGCCGCGTGGAGATCTTGTACCAGGGTTCCTGGGGCACAGTGTGTGATGACCTCTGGGACACCAATGATGCCAACGTGGTCTGCAGGCAGCTGGGCTGTGGCTATGGTGTATCTGCCCCAGGAAGTGCCCGGTTTGGACAGGGCACAGGATCCATCCTCCTGGATGACGTGGGCTGCTCTGGGTACGAGTCTTACCTGTGGGATTGTCCCCACCGTGGCTGGCGCATTCACAACTGTGGCCACCACGAGGATGCTGGTGTCATTTGCTCAGGTGGGCAGTCAAGAATCTGGGCTCTCATGGGTGTGGGCTTTGTTCTGGAAGAAAGTACTTGTATTTTGATTTCCTTGATTCAGTGGTTTTTGTATTTCTTCTTTTCCTGTAGTCTTTTTAGTTTTTCACTAAGAGTCCATTTTAGTTCTTAAACACTCCTATTTGACACCAAGCCAAAGAGAAATGTAGCATGTGACCCCTACTGGGGCAGTACAACCACGAGTCAAGGAGAAAACTCTGGCCTCTCAGCTGCCTTTCCCCTTTGGGTGGGTGCTAGGTGAGAATGATAAAGTTTAAGATTGAGGGAAATACTGATATCACTGAGAAGAATCTGAATCAAATGTTCTGATGGAGGCTGGAGAGGTAGGGCTTGCATGTAATCTGGCGCTCAAGAGGCTGAGCAGGAGGTCATCAGTTTGAGGTCAGTCTGGGCTACTTGGGAGAATTCATCTGAATAAACTGAGAATCTGGACATAGCTCAGTAGTGTAATACTTGCCTTGCATGCACAAGGTCATGAGTTTGAGCCCTAGCACTGCAGAAAAATGAAAAAGAAAAAAGCTCTTGTGAGGAAGGTTCTCTTCAGCTGATGCCCCCAAGGCCAAGGGCTCAAAATGGAGGCTCATTGGGTTGAACTGCATGAGGGTGTACATGTGTGTCTGTCTCATGTTTGGAGTGCCTTTGTTTTTGCCTACAGCTCCCTGCAGGGGACCAACTTCTCTGTGTGTGCCCCAAGTTTGATGTGGGGTATCTATCCTTTGAGGCCTAGAAGGTCTCACGCAGGAATTTGACCTGGAGCTGGGCTCCCATGTAGTGGAGTCACATGACAGTTATAAGTGAAAGGTTGTAGTGTGTATGTGGGGAGGGGGTTGGTTCAGCATGGTCATCCCATGCAAAAGTTTCTCACCTTGAGGTTGGGAAGATGACAGGTTCTGCTTGGACCCCCAAAAGGAACATCTGTCTTAGAGTATTTTTGGCAAGTAACCCTCACTCTGAGGCAAGGGACAAGCAGGACTGAATGCCTGCCCTGCTAAGCACCTTCCTCCTGCAGCCCATTTTGCCTCCTTTGGTGCAATGCAACTGACCTGGCCTTCTCTTTCCCACAGCTGCCCCACAGCCATCTACGCCCACACTCGGTGAGTCCTGCCACCAATTTAGCCTGTGTGTTCACTCTCTCCCTGCTCTCCTGCACTGCTCAGCCAGTAGCTACAAGAAGGTAGTGAGGAGTGTTCTGGCTCTCCAAGAACCTTCCCCATTTTCCTAAAGGGAGAGAGGTGGCACATGCTGGGTGCACACCATGCATGCTGATTCTTCTATCTGCCCCAGTGGATAAGAAATCCTGACTCCTGACCTGGGTTGCTAAACCGCACTTAGCCAATGCTATTGTGGCAAATGGAGGTACTCTCCTGGTCCATTTCCCTGGAAAGCGTTGTTTTATCCAAGAGCCATAGGGCGGAGACAACAGAGACGTTTGTGTCATATGCTCTGATTATACTGGGTGATTGTTTTGGTAAAGTACCATCCTGCCAAGGGGAATTGTAGCTGTCCTCTGGGAACTGGGCCACCTCATTGTCATTGAGTGGGCATTCAAGAGTGTGGCTTCTCATCACTGGCTCTCTAGAAAAGGATTTGTTCTCCCAAGTCACAGCCCTTCTCTGCATCCTCTGTCCCTGATCCCTACATAGATCCATGGACCCAACCTTGACCCACACCCCTCCTTTCTAATTAGTTTTTTTTTCCCTCCAGATTGGTGGTATCCAAGAACTCCTAACTATGGTAAGCATCTTTGGAGTAAGACAAAGCATCAACCTTCAGGAAGCTAAACAACAGGTCTGGGGGAATTCCTGGGACTTGTATGAGATCTCTGGCTGTGTACCACCTCCTCCAAGTAAAGGGTTCCCTTCACTAACTACTTGATTTGAAGTGTAAGGAGATTTGCCTGTCAGGTTGCTTTTATTCCTAGGTGAAAGGAATGTAAAGTCGGACCTAGAAAGGAATTCATTTGCTCTATATGCAGGGTGTTTATTGTTGGATTAAGGTCTTTAGGTACCACTGGATCAGGAATGTTCAAGACTTCTAGATATTTCTTTGCCCATTGTTTATGTGGAAGGTTTCACCATCATCTTGCTTTTTGTACAGTGGGGAAGACAGTTGTTATCAGCCCTAAGTTTATATCTCCCAGGTGAAAGGGTTCATCTTAACCCATAGATCCGGCTGATAAGTCCTTCTCCAGAGTTATCTGAGTGATCTTATGGCTCAGTCAGACTTATATGTCCAAATCCTCTTGAATCGGGGAGGGGGAGGAGGATGAGGCACTTGGCTCTTCTTGAACCTCATAGGACATACTTTTGTGGTTTTTAAAAGCAGTTTCTATTTCATTCAAAGCCAGGGATAGCAGTTTAGACACAGAGAAAACACTCCTTACCCAGAGCTCTGCATTCCTTATTTTTTTTCCTGTGGTTGCTCACTGTCATTTACCCTCCAATCCTTCCTAGTTGGGACCTTTCTTCTCCCTAGTGTCCTCTCTGGAGGCTGAGACATGAGTTCATGACCAGACAGGGCTACATAGTAAGTCTTTTCTTCAAAACAAAGTAAGAAAAATAAGGAAAGAAATAAAGATGAGAGGGAGGGAGGGGAGAGGAAGGGAAGGAGGGAGGGGAGAGGAAGGGAAGGAGGGAGGGAGGGAGGAAGAGACATAGAGATAGAGAGAAAGAGAAAGGAAGGAAGGAAGGAAGGAAGGAAGGAAGGAAGGAAGGAAGGAAGGAAGGAAGGAAGGAAGAAAGGAAGGAAGGAAGGAAGGAAGGAAGGAAGCATGGACCGAGATCCACATCTGTGCCTCACTGCGTAGCCGAAATAAGGCACCCGCCACCATGCCCAGCCATTGGTTGATGTATGCAGTTGGTGAGCTTTTTGACCAGGCTGGCCTCAAAATCTCTAGATTTCTGCCTCCTGAGTATCTAGGATTGCAGCCTTGAGTCACTGAACTCAACTTGCTTTTTGGGGAGGTAGGATGCAAAACTCCATGGGGTATAATAGGCTGGACACAAGCTGTTAATCCTTGGGCCTCAGTCTTCTGAGAGAGGTAGGCAGGAGGCCACCCCCATCCAGGGAAGCATCTAACCAGGGAAATTTTACCTGCTAAAATCCTAAAACATCCTTCATTTTCTTTCTAGATTGGTTGACTTCAACATCTCCAAACACTGCAAGTAAGTGTCACATTTTCGAACTGAATCTCAGGAATTGAATTTCTTCCTTCCTTCCTTCCTTCCTTCCTTCCTTCCTTCCTTCCTTCCTTCCTTCCTTCCTTCCTTCCTTCCTTCCTTCCTTCCCTCCTTCCCTCCCTCCCTCCCTCTCTCCCTCCCTCCCTCTCTCTCTCTCCCTCTGTCTCTCTCTCCCACCCCATCTCCCTTCTGTTGGTATACCTGGAGTTTGGACTCAAGGGCCTTGTGCTTTCTAGGAAGGCACTCTACCAATTGAGCAGTACACTGAGCCCTTTCTGCTTTAGTTATTTTCCAGATAGAGTATTAGGTTTTTTGCTCCATGCTAACCTGGATTACAATTCTCTAATTCTGCCTCCAGCATAACTGAAACCTCAGGAGCTTGTCTTCATGCTCAGCTTGTTGATAGAGATGGGGTCTCACTAGCTTTTTGGTAGGTTCACCTCAAAAGGTGACACTCCCACTGTCTACCTACTGTGTAAGTGGGATCATAGGTGAGTACCCAGGACCTGGATTTCTTAACCTTAAGCCTGGCCCATCATAAAGTGACCCCTCTTCCCAAGCCTACCTCTATCCACACAGACCACCTCCCCTGGTGTGCTAGCTACACTCTATGCCCAATTGCAAACATGCCCTTTATGTTTCTCCTCCCAGGAGGATGACTTTAGTTTTCAAGAAGGCCTGCTGCTGCTCATTTAATTCAATGACGTCAACATTCCAGAAAGGATCAGCCTATTCTGATTTCTTCAGGTATCTCTGAAGCTTTAGAAGGAAGAATACAGACTTAGCAAGTGGATCATTTCACGCCTAATCATCCTTTTTTACATAATTTCACACTATTCATATGTTTTAAAATATTCCGGTGTCTTAAAAGTGATATGGCTATGTTTGGTGTTAATAGGTCTTGTATCGTGATCCTTTTCCTTTCTGCTGGTTGCTGACTGCTGTGACATGCCCCCTCCCACATTGGAACCTTTCTTGTCCCTGCTGTCCTCTCGTGAGTGTTCTGTACTCTTGTGCTGCCCTTTGTGTGTGCAGCACCGTCTTCCTGCAACCCATTTTGCCTCCTTTGGTGCAACGCATCTGACCTGGCCTTCTCTGTCCCACAGCTGCCCCACAGCCATCTACGCCTGCACCAGGTGAGTCCTGCCACCAATTTAGCCTGTGTGTTCACTCTCTCCCTGCTCTCCTGCACTGCTCAGCCAGTAGCTACAAGAAGGTAGTGAGGAGTGTTCTGGCTCTCCAAGAACCTTCCTCATTTTCTTTAAGGGTTAGAGGTGGGACATGCTGAGCGTACACCATGGATGCTGATTCTTCTGTCTGCCCCAGTGGGATAAGAAATCCTGACTTCTGACCTGGGTTGCTAAACTGCACTTACCCAATGCTATTGTGGCAAATGGAGGTACTCTCCTGGTCCATTTCCCTGGAAAGCGTTGTTTTATCCAAGAGCCATAGGGCGGAGACAACAGAGACGTTTGTGTCATATGCTCTGATTATGCATGATTAAGCATGATTATTTTGCTTAAAATGTTAAGGAGTCAGTCTTCAAGAATATGGGGGCTTTGAGGCAGAGATCAGAGGGATCAATTCTTCAGTTCACAGACAAACTTTTGTCTCTGTAAATGTACTCACCCAACCGTATTGTCCCTGGATATAATTCCAGGAGGAACAAGTGCAAAATGTGTTCTAAGCAAAGCCTAGACCACCAGATCATATCAGAGTTCCTCACAGGACATCCTAGTGTCAGCAGGTTTAACTTCAGCAGAGAGCCACATGGCTCCCCAGTTGAAGGAAATGGGCCCCTGCCTGTGAGCCACTAGAGGTCCTGTAGACAGTCTCTAGCCTCTTTTGGATGCAATCTAGGAGGAGTAGTTTCTACCACTTGAAGGCCTAACATAATTCTGGTGGTGCCCCGCACTTGCTCACTTCTTTTCTGCCTCTTTCAGATACAACACTTGAAGAGTCAACCACAGTGGAAGCAGGTAATATCCCCCACGTTCTCTCTTAAGATCACAAAAATCATTGCGTTGTAAGGTTAGTGTTGACTCAGATGATCTTTCTGAAAGGTGCCCAGGGTTGGGACCAGTGTTTTTTCAGGATGTTCTGCTCCGAGTCAGCTTAAAGTTGTCCCATGCCTTAAGAGTGAGAAGCTTGGGGCAGGGCAGAAGCTCTGCTGACAGTAGGCTTGCTTAAACATTTTGGGTACCTGAATCTGAACTCTACTGAGCTGTTAGCCTCAGCATAGTCCAGGGGACCAACAATGACAAAACCTGAAGTTATGTATAGCCTGCATTCTGACATTAATGCAGATTGCAAATGAATCTATGTGGCCACCTCACCCTGCTCTGAAGGATGAAGAATAGGAGCTTTTATTCACAGTTAAATCACTTTGTGCCTGGACCTGAAAAGGGATGTCTGATGAGAGCTTCCAGCCTCTCCTGTATGAGCACATGGCAACAGACTTGGCCAGAGACTCAGAGGATTTCTCTTCTGCCTAGGGGCTCATTATTTCATCCCTTCCTGAGGTGGACTTTCTCACCTCAGGGCATCCATTTTCCTTCTCCTATACTGAAGTGCTGTTGTATGGCTGGCCACGTGCAGATGCACACGCACGTGTGTGTGGTGCACTCTTGTGTGTTAGGAGTAGGAATGGCTCTGGTTCCCTCATCTTTCTTGAATCATCCTGATTCACACACATCTGCTTCCAGAGAGGCCCAGGCAGGTGCCTGGGAAGGACATGATGAAAGTTCCTGGTGCATTTGTCACCACTAACCTGATTCTTCTTTGGTCCACTCTCTGGAGAGCCTCAGCCTCTGTCTCCAAATGGAGTCTGGACAATGATAACAGATGGGACAGTGAGGTCATGATCAGTGGATAAGGTGGGACGGTGAGGTCATGATCAGTGGATAAAGGGGCAGAGGTTTTCTAACTAAGAGAAAAAGTCTTAAACTGAAAGAGATGGAAGGGCCAGTGTGATGGTCAGAAGAGCCTTTGTCCCATTGAGGACCTGAGAAAGAGAAGCCTGTGCAGACACACAGACATGGAAATGTCATGAAGCTTTCCTGGTGCAGAAAACTTTTGGTTTTGGCCTTTTCCCTTCAAGTCTAATTTTAGCCTTTCTCTTCATTGCTATCCACTGGCACATGGCCAACCACAACCATACCTGTTCTCCATCAGGCCTGAGCTCACTTTCTACCTCTGGAATAATTAGGCATTGCAAATGATGGGATAAGGCTGAAGGTGGGTCCCTGCTGTACCAGGTCCATGTGGGCTGGGTGGTGAAGATGGAGTCTTTGAAGGCCAAGTCCTTGGTATGATACTGGGTTGGCTGGGAGAGGGAGGGGATGACCTGTGTCTAGTGGGATCCTGTGTGAGGAGCTTCTCCAGGTACTCAAGATGAGCCCTGGAGATCTCGATAATACTGCTGGGAGCTTGGATTGGAGAAGTTTTGAGGACCACACCTGTAGTTGACTTTTCTGAGTTTGGGCTCCTGATCTTTAATTTCTGATTGTAAAACTCAATAAGAACTAGATCAAGTGAACTTGGTCAATGCCATGCTGAGAACTGTTGTAATAGAGACTGTCATCCAGTCCTTACCCTGCAGTTTCCAGAGAAAAACATGTTCTCTCTTCATCACTTAGTTTAGTGGGAAGAGCTGTCCAGCATCCAAAATATAAACAAAACAAGGTCACGTGGCCTTGTCAGGCTGCCACCAGTACAAACACCTTCCCCAGTGAGATCTCTCTTTACATGTTCCCTTCTTTCCGTTCTCTCACAGATACAACACTTATTGGAGAATCAACCACAGCATCAACAGGTACTAAAGTCACAAAAATCTGTGATGTCTAGGATTATTGTTGAGAAGATCAAACTTTGGGCTTACAAGGAACAGTAAAAGATTATCTTCAAGAAGGGCCTCCAGGCATGGAAAACATGAGTGGAACCCATATTGTTTTGGGGGTCCTGCTCTGAGTCTCATCTCAACTCTTGTGGTCCCTGGAGGTCCAGCTGACTTGGCCATCTGTACTCAAGGCCTTGATTGCAAGATGGAAGCAGGGATATTTGACTGTGATTCAGAGCATATTAGCCCAGGTCATGGCTGTTGGCAGAGCCATTGCCATCTTGGTGACAGTCACATTTAAAGTCTGGAGCTGGTGTAGACATGTTAATGAAGTTGGGAAAATGAAGTATCAGGGATGAGTACAGGGTGCCCTAGGTTCAGGAAGGGTAGAAGCTCATAAACCATATGCTGTATGGACTTCAAACTGCATGAGGGTGGTTGGCCAATGGGATGTGATCTTGGCTACATACAAACCACATGACCTGGACCATCCACACAGAAAACATCACTGAATGAGAAATCTGTGTGTCCTCTTTAGGAACAGATTCTGTTTTGGCCTTGAGGCTGGTGAATGGTGGAGATCGGTGTCAGGGCCGTGTAGAGATCCTGTACCAGGGTTCCTGGGGCACCGTGTGTGATGACAGCTGGGACACCAATGATGCCAATGTGGTCTGCAGGCAGCTTGGCTGTGGCTATGCCATATCTGCCCTGGGAAATGCCTGGTTTGGTCAAGGCTCAGGGCCCATTGTCTTGGATGATGTGGCCTGCTCAGGGTACGAGTCCTACCTGTGGAATTGTCCCCACCGTGGCCTGCTCTCTCATAACTGTGTCCACCAGGAGGATGCTGGAGTCATCTGCTCAGGTGGGCCATCAGGAACCTAGGGCTCCCTCTTGGAAAAAAGTCCTTCTTTCAATTTGATTTCTCACTCAATGGTTTCTACACTGCTTATTTCCCTGTATTCTTTTCAGTCCTTCACAAACAGTGTATTTTAGTACTTAAAACATTGCTACTTATAGAAATGTGTAAAGAAGACACTGAGCCCAAGCTTAATGTAGCATTTGACCCCTACTGGGGCAGTACAAACAAGAGCCAAGGAGAAAAACCCAGGCCTCTCAGCTTCTTTTTCCCCAGGGGTGAGTGCCAGGAGAGGTGAGGTAGATACACTTCAGAGTGAAGGAAGGACCCTAAGATCACTGAGAAGAGCCTGAATGAAAAAGTTCTGTTTGAGTCTATCATGGTGGTACATACCTGTAATCTAGGACTCAACAGGATGAGCTGGAGTATCATGAATTCAAGGTTGGGCTGGGCTACATAGGGAGAAGTTGTCTCAAAAAACCAAGGACTGGGGATGTAGCTTAGTGGTAGAGTGCTTTCCTTGCATGCACATGGTCCTGAGTTACAACCATAGCCTTGTGGGAAAAAAAGAAGGTTAAGCTCAGTTGAGTAAGGTTGTCTTCAGCTGAGGCCCCCAAGGCAAGGGTCTTCACATGGAGGCCCATTGGCTAGGACTGCAGGCATGCATACCTGCATGGCTGGCTCAGGTTTGATGGACCTGTGTGCTTGACTTAGCTCCCTTCAGAGGATGCAGTGCACTGTCTGTGCACCCATCTTGTGTGGGGTAGGCAGCCCCTTGAGTCTTAGAAGGTCTCATGCAAGAATTTGACCTCAGATTGGCTCCCATTTAGTTGAATTATTGGTCAGCGACAGAATGCAAGGTAGGGAGTGGAGGGTTTGGTTCAGTTGGGTCAACAAATCCAGAAATTTTCTCCCCTTGAGGTTGGGAAGGGGACAGGATCAACATAAACCCTTTGTAAGGCACACATTTCTAGCAGTTGGGTAGCAAACAACCCTCACTCTGAGGCAAGAGACAAGAATGATTGAATGCCTGACTTGCTGAGTCTATCCCTCCATGTTCAAGTTTTGCTTCCTTTAGTGCAATGCATCTGACCTGGCCTTCTCTTTCTCACAGATGCCACACAGCATTCTACACCTTGGCCCCCAACAGGTGAGTCCTGCTACTTCTCTATCTGCTGTGTATTCCCTCTCCTTCTGTCCCTTCTCTGCTACACAGCCCCAGCCAGTAGCTACAGAAGGAAACCATGGAGGGTTCTGGCTGTCCCAGAAACTTTGGCATTCTCCTTAAGGGATAGAGGTGGCACATGCTGAGTGCACAACAGGCATTTGCTCATTCTCTCTGCCCAATGGGATAAAGAAAGTCCCAGCTCCTGACCTGGGTTGCTAAATGGCCCTTAGCCTGTCCTTTTGGTAGAGAATGAGGTACTGTCCTGGAACGTTTTTGCTAGAAAGCATTGTCTTGTTCAAGAGCCACAGGGCGGGGACAACAGACACTTTTTTGTGTCATATGCCCTGACTATAGATGGAGGGATTGTTTTGTAAAACGCGTCCTTCAGGAGAATCGCAGCTACCCTCTGGGAACTGGGCCACTTCATTTTCAATGTGGTGGACATTCAAGGGCATGGCTTCCTGTCACTGGCTCTCTAGAAACGACTTTGCTTCCCCAGACACAGCCCTTCTCCACATCCTCTGTCCTGATCCCAGATATAGGCTCATGGACCCAAGTGTCACCCAAGCCCCACCCTTCTAATCCAGTTTTATTTTTCCCTCCAGATTGGTGGCATCCAACAACTATTATCTATGGTAAGCATCTTTGGATTCAGACAAAGCCTCAGCCTTCAGCACGCTAAGCAACAGGTCTGGGGAATTTTCCTGGTTCTTGTGTGAGGTCTCTGGCCCTCATCCAAGTCAAGAGTTTCCTTCACTGACCACTGATATTGTACTCTAAGGGAACCTAGTGTGTCAGGTTGCTTTTTTTGTAAGTCATAGTACCCAAAGTCTTACCTAAAAATGAATTTATTGGCTCTCATATCAGGGTGTTTGTGTTGGATCAGAAACTTCAGGTACCACTAGATCCAGAAGATCCAAGAGTTCTAGACATTTCTGTGCCCACTGTTTGTGTGGAAGGCTTCTCCATCATCTTGCTTTTTGTGCATGGGGGAAGACAGCATTTATTGGCCCCAAGTCTGTATCTCCCCAAGAAAAAGAGTTCACCTGACCCCATAGCTCTGGCTGTTAAGGCCTGGGGAGACTCAATTGACCCTGTTGGCCACAGGTGCTTTCTCCAGAGCCATCTGAGTAACCTCATGGCCCATCTAGAGTTATATGTCTAATTCATATTTCACTGGATTGTGGGGGAGGAAGATGAGGTTCTTGTCCCTTCTTGAACATCATAGGATATAGCTTTTGTGGTTTTTAAAAATAGGAATGAGGGTTTCTGTTTCAATAAAAACCAGGGAAGGAGGTTGAGACACAGAGAAAGCACTCTTTAGCTCTGCTTTCCTTCTTATGCTCTCTGCTGGATCCTGGCTTCCATTTACCCTCGAACCCTCCCCAAGTAGAACCTTTCTCTCTCTGGTATCCTCTCAGGAGTCTAAGGCAGGAGTTCAAGGCCAGTCTGGGCTGCATACTAACAATTTGTCTTAAAAAAAAAGAAAAATAAATAAAAGAATCCACTTGATGGAGCAATCCCCAGAGTGTCCATATGTTACAGTGAAAATATTCTGTACCAAATATGGTGGAATGAGTTAACTACTCTCGCCACTTCTGGATATTACCTTGTTATCCAGACCTCTCAAGTACCTGAGAAACTCTGTAATAAGGAAGAGGACTTAGGGCCTCTAACATGCTAGACAGATGGCAGCCCTTTGTGCCTGGTTATTTTTGAGATAGGGTCTTGTTTTATGCCCTGGCCATTATGGACTGTGAGCCTCATTTATGCTTCCCTGTGTAGCTGGAAGATAGGCATGCATCACTGTGCCCAAGCCTTGGTTGAGATACAACTTATGAAAATTTTGTCTGCCTGACTTCAAATTGCAATTCTCTATGAATCTCCCCACCCCAGGGGCTAAAATTGCAGGCATGAACCATAGTACCCAGCTGATTTCTTTCTTTTCTTTGAGAGGCAGGGCTTTCTGGGGTATCATAGGCTAGCCTGAAACTATGCATCCTCAGCCTCAGCCTTCCAGATGAAGGATTCAAGTTTGCACCCATCGTCAGATCAGAGAAAGGATTTAGCCAGATCTGTTAAGCTGATTACAGTATGAAAATCCTAAAACATCCTCCGTTTACTTTCTAGATTGGTTCACGTCAACATCTCCAAGCACTGCAAGTGAGTGTCACATTTTCCACCTGCAGCACAGAATCTGCATTTCTTTGTGCTATTTCTTTCTTGTTATTTGTTTGTCTTGTTGGAGATTTGAACCCAGGGCTTTGTGCATTCTAGGCAGACAGTCCACCACTTGAGTCACACAATGAGCCCTTTGTGCTTTAGTTATTTTCAGATATTATTTCATGCTTTTTGCCCAGTGCCAGCCTGGATCACAATTCTCCTACCTCTGCTTCCAGCATAACTAGGACCTCAGGAGCTTGTTATGTCACCTGGCTTGCTGGTTGAGATGGGGTCTTGGTAACTTTTAGCCTTTCTTCAACTCAAATCAGAACACTCCCAATCTCCTCCTACTGAGTATGGGGGTTACAGGCAAGAGTCAAGGACCTGGATTTCTTAATCTTAAGCGTGGCCCATCATAAAGTTGAACTCACTCCTTACCCCCCGCCGGTTGTGCCAGCCACACTCTGTACCCGATCTTCACGTGCCCTCCTTGTCCCTCCTGCCAGGAGGATGACTTTAGCTTTGCATGTGGCCTTTTTCTGCTGCTTCATGTAATCGATGACATAAGGATTCTAGAAAGAATAGACTTAGAAGATTTTTTAAATTCAAGTGTCTCTGAAGCTTTGCAAGGAAGAATAGAGATTAATGAATGGATCATTTCACACATAATCACCCTTTTCTATATAATTGCACACTATTTATATGTTTTAAAAGCTTTACACTCCTCTCAAAAGTGATATGCCTATGTTATGTTTTAATAGGTTTTTATCAGGATCCTTTTTCTTTCTGTTGGCTGCTGGCTGCTGTGATCCCCTCCTCTCCCACAGTGGAACCTTTCCTATGTCTGGTGTCCTCTCCTGTCACCTTGGACAAGGGGCTGGGCTGAGTGACTGTCTATGCAGGAGATCAGAGCACTCACTGTGAGCACTATCACGGCTGAAGGTTCTTGTTAGCAGAGTGAAAGCTTACCCCAACCGTGCGTGTGCATCAGACTTTCATTGCAGTGAAGAGTCCATGAGAAATAGTTTAAGGTGGAGATTCATTTCACTCACAGTTTCAGTTTTCAGTCCCATGTTTTGTGCCTGAGTGAGGCAGAACATCATGGGGGAAAGGCCTGGTAGAGTAGGCCTGCCGATCTCATGACAGAGGCAGACAGAGAGAACAAGAGAGAAACAGAGGACAAGGGAGGAGGCAAGAGCGTGAAAGACTGAACATTTGTGAGAGTCAGAGAAGAAAAGAGAGAAAGACGGCCAGGAAGGGATGGAGGACAAGGTGTATCATTCCAGGGCATGCACCCAAGGAACTACTTCCTGTAGCTAGGTCCCATCTTCCAATAATGCCATTAAGACATTACTCCATTGATTAGGTCAGAGTCATGACGTCCCAGTAAGTTCTTAATATTTGGATACCTGCTGGGGCCCAAGCCTTCAACATCCAGGGGACAAAACCTATCCAAAACATAGCACTAAGGTCTTGCAGGAAGACAGAGATCATGGTGTCATTGACTGATGTTGAGCAGAAATGGCCATAAATTCACTGTTCCATCACCCTGTGGGCTCCAGTCTCCTGAGAGAGCCAAGGCTCATCAGTAACTCCACACACTCCAGGAGGACATCATGAGATACTAGCTGAGGTGGGGACTGAAGATCCCATTATCTTCATGGTCCAGAACCCCTGACCAGATTGAGAGACTGGAAATCAGTGTGTACAAGTCAGTGAAGCCCAGAGACACAGGGAAAGGTCTTTCTCACTAGCGAATAATACCTCACTATGACTTGAAAGCATTTTTGACCTGACTGGTGATTTCTCCCTCTAGGCACGGATTCTGGCTTGGCCCTGAGGCTGGTGAATGGTGGAGACAGGTGTCAGGGCCGCGTGGAGATCTTGTACCAGGGTTCCTGGGGCACAGTGTGTGATGACCTCTGGGACACCAATGATGCCAACGTGGTCTGCAGGCAGCTGGGCTGTGGCTATGGTGTATCTGCCCCAGGAAGTGCCCGGTTTGGACAGGGCACAGGATCCATCCTCCTGGATGACGTGGGCTGCTCTGGGTATGAGTCCTACCTGTGGGATTGTCCCCACCGTGGCTGGCGCATTCACAACTGTGGCCACCATGAGGATGCTGGTGTCATTTGTTCAGGTGGGCAGTCAAGAATCTGGGCTCTCATGGGTGTGGGCTTTGTTCTGGAAGAAAGTACTTGTATTTTGATTTCCTCACTGAGTGGTTTTTGTATTTCTTCTTTTCCTGTAGTCTTTTTAGTTTTTCACTAAGAGTCCATTTTAGTTCTTAAACACTCCTATTTGACACCAAGCCAAAGAGAAATGTAGCATGTGACCCCTACTGGGGCAGTACAACCACGAGTCAAGGAGAAAACTCTGGCCTCTCAGCTGCCTTTCCCCTTTGGGTGGGTGCTAGGTGAGAATGATAAAGTTTAAGATTGAGGGAAATACTGATATCACTGAGAAGAGTCTGAACCAAATGTTCTGATGGAGGCTGGAGAGGTAGGGCTTGCATGTAATCTGGCGCTCAAGAGGCTGAGCAGGAGGTCATCAGTTTGAGGTCAGTCTGGGCTACTTGGGAGAATTCATCTGAATAAACTGAGAATCTGGACATAGCTCAGTAGTGTAATACTTGCCTTGCATGCACAAGGTCATGAGTTTGAGCCCTAGCACTGCAGAAAAATGAAAAAGAAAAAAGCTCTTGTGAGGAAGGTTCTCTTCAGCTGATGCCCCCAAGGCCAAGGGCTCAAAATGGAGGCTCATTGGGTTGAACTGCATGAGGGTGTACATGCGTGTCTGTCTCATGTTTGGAGTGCCTTTGTTTTTGCCTACAGCTCCCTGCAGGGGACCAACTTCTCTGTGTGTGCCCCAAGTTTGATGTGGGGTATCTATCCTTTGAGGCCTAGAAGGTCTCACGCAGGAATTTGACCTGGAGCTGGGCTCCCATGTAGTGGAGTCACATGACAGTTATAAGTGAAAGGTTGTAGTGTGTATGTGGGGAGGGGGTTGGTTCAGCATGGTTATCCCATGCAAAAGTTTCTCACCTTGAGGTTGGGAAGATGACAGGTTCTGCTTGGACCCCCAAAATGAACATCTGTCTTAGAGTATTTTTGGCAAGTAACCCTCACTCTGAGGCAAGGGACAAACAGGACTGAATGCCTGCCCTGCTAAGCACCTTCCTCCTGCAGCCCATTTTGCCTCCTTTGGTGCAACGCATCTGACCTGGCCTTCTCTTTCCCACAGCTGCCCCACAACCATCTACGCCCGCACCAGGTGAGTCCTGCCACCAATTTAGCCTGTGTGTTCACTCTCTCCCTGCTCTCCTGCACTGCTCAGCCAGTAGCTACAAGAAGGTAGTGAGGAGTGTTCTGGCTCTCCAAGAACCTTCCTCATTTTCTTTAAGGGTTAGAGGTGGGACATGCTGAGCGTACACCATGGATGCTGATTCTTGTCTGCCCCAGTGGATAAGAAATCCTGACTCCTGACCTGGGTTGCTAAACTGCACTTACCCAATGCTATTGTGGCAAATGGAGGTACTCTCCTGGTCCATTTCCCTGGAAAGCGTTGTTTTATCCAAGAGCCATAGGGCGGAGACAACAGAGACGTTTGTGTCATATGCTCTGATTATGCATGATTAAGCATGATTATTTTGCTTAAAATGTTAAGGAGTCAGTCTTCAAGAATATGGGGGCTTTGAGGCAGAGATCAGAGGGATCAATTCTCCAGTTCAGAGACAACCTTTTATCGCTGTAAATGTACTCACCCAACCGTATTGTCCCTGGATATAATTCCAGGAGGAACAAGTGCAAAATGTGTTCTAAGCAAAGCCCAGACCACCAGAAAATATTAGAGTTCCTCACAGGACATCCTATTGTCAGCAGGTTTAACTTCAGCAGAGAGCCACATGGCTCCCCAGTTGAAGGAAATGGGCCCCTGCCTGTGAGCCACTAGAGGGTCCTATAGACAGTCTCTAGCCTCTTTTGGATGCAATCTAGGAGGAGTAATTTCTACCACTTGAAGGCCTAACATAATTCTGGTGGTGCCCCGCACTTGCTCACTTCTTTTCTGCCTCCTCCAGGTACAAACCTTGTTGAAGAGTTAACCACAGTGGAAGCAGATAATATCCCCCATGTTCTCTCTTAAGATCACAAAAATCATTGCGTTGTAAGGTTAGTGTTGGCTCAGATGATCTTTCTGAAAGGTGTCCAGGATTTGGAACCAGTGTTTTTTCAGGATGTTCTGCTCCTAGTCAGCTTAGTTGTCCCATGCCTTAAGAGTGAGAAGCTTGGGCCAGGGCAGAAGCTCTGCTGACAGTAGGCTTGCTTAAACACTTTGGGTACCTGAATCTGAACTCTACTGAGCTGTTAGCCTCAGCATAGTCCAGGGGACCAACAATGACAAAACCTGAAGTTATGTATAGCCTGCATTCTGACATTAATGCAGATTGCAAATGAATCTATGTGGCCACCTCACCCTGCTCTGAAGGATGAAGAATAGGAGCTTTTATTCACAGTTAAATCACTTTGTGCCTGGACCTGAAAAGGGATGTCTGATGAGAGCTTCCAGCCTCTCCTGTATGAGCACATGGCAACAGACTTAGCCAGAGACTCAGAGGATTTCTCTTCTGCCTAGGGGCTCATTATTTCATCCCTTCCTGAGGTGGACTTTCTCACCTCAGGGCATCCATTTTCCTTCTCCTATGTGAAGTGCTGTTGTATGGCTGGCCACGTGCAGATGCACACGCACATGTGTGTGGTGCACTCTTGTGTGTTAGGAGTAGGAATGGCTCTGGTTCCCTCATCTTTCTTGAATCATCCTGATTCACACACATCTGCTTCCAGAGAGGCCCAGGCAGGTGCCTGGGAAGGACATGATGAAAGTTCCTGGTGCATTTGTCACCACTAACCTGATTCTTCTTTGGTCCACTCTCTGGAGAGCCTCAGCCTCTGTCTCCAAATGGAGTCTGGACAATGATAACAGATGGGACAGTGAGGTCATGATCAGTGGATAAGGTGGGACGGTGAGGTCATGATCAGTGGATAAAGGGGCAGAGGTTTTCTAACTAAGAGAAAAAGTCTTAAACTGAAAGAGATGGAAGGGCCAGTGTGATGGTCAGAAGAGCCTTTGTCCCATTGAGGACCTGAGAAAGAGAAGCCTGTGCAGACACACAGACATGGAAATGTCATGAAGCTTTCCTGGTGCAGAAAACTTTTGGTTTTGGCCTTTTCCCTTCAAGTCTAATTTTAGCCTTTCTCTTCATTGCTATCCACTGGCACATGGCCAACCACAACCATACCTGTTCTCCATCAGGCCTGAGCTCACTTTCTACCTCTGGAATAATTAGGCATTGCAAATGATGGGATAAGGCTGAAGGTGGGTCCCTGCTGTACCAGGTCCATGTGGGCTGGGTGGTGAAGATGGAGTCTTTGAAGGCCAAGTCCTTGGTATGATACTGGGTTGGCTGGGAGAGGGAGGGGATGACCTGTGTCTAGTGGGATCCTGTGTGAGGAGCTTCTCCAGGTACTCAAGATGAGCCCTGGAGATCTCGATAATACTGCTGGGAGCTTGGATTGGAGAAGTTTTGAGGACCACACCTGTAGTTGACTTTTCTGAGTTTGGGCTCCTGATCTTTAATCTTCTGATTGTAAAACTCAATAAGAACTAGATCAAGTGAACTTGGTCAATGCCATGCTGAGAACTGTTGTAATAGAGACTGTCATCCAGTCCTTACCCTGCAGTTTCCAGAGAAAAACATGTTCTCTCTTCATCACTTAGTTTAGTGGGAAGAGCTGTCCAGCATCCAAAATATAAACAAAACAAGGTCACGTGGCCTTGTCAGGCTGCCACCAGTACAAACACCTTCCCCAGTGAGATCTCTCTTTACATGTTCCCTTCTTTCCGTTCTCTCACAGATACAACACTTATTGGAGAATCAACCACAGCATCAACAGGTACTAAAGTCACAAAAATCTGTGATGTCTAGGATTATTGTTGAGAAGATCAAACTTTGGGCTTACAAGGAACAGTAAAAGATTATCTTCAAGAAGGGCCTCCAGGCATGGAAAACATGAGTGGAACCCATATTGTTTTGGGGGTCCTTCTCTGAGTCTCATCTCAACTCTTGTGGTCCCTGGAAGTCTAGCTGACTTGGCCATCTGTACTCAAGGCCTTGATTGCAAGATGGAAGCAGGGATATTTGACTGTGATTCAGAGCATATTAGCCCAGGTCATGGCTGTTGGCAGAGCCATTGCCATCTTGGTGACAGTCACATTTAAAGTCTGGAGCTGGTGTAGACATGTTAATGAAGTTGGGAAAATGAAGTATCAGGGATGAGTACAGGGTGCCCTAGGTTCAGGAAGGGTAGAAGCTCATAAACCATATGCTGTATGGACTTCAAACTGCATGAGGGTGGTTGGCCAATGGGATGTGATCTTGGCTACATACAAACCACATGACCTGGATCATCCACACAGAAAGCATCACTGAATGAGAAATCCGTGTGTCCTCTTTAGGAACAGATTCTGTTTTGGCCTTGAGGCTGGTAAATGGTGGAGATCGGTGTCAGGCCGTGTAGAGATCCTGTATCAGGGTTCCTGGGGCACCTTGTGTGAGGACAGGTGGGACAAATGCAGAAGTTTTCTCACGTTGAGGTTGGGAAGGGGACACGATCAATATAGACCCCTTGTAAGGCACACATTTCTAGCAGTGTGGGTAGCAAACAACCCTCACTGAAGGCAAGAGACAAGAATGATTGAATGCCTGACTTGCTGAGTGTATCCTCCATATCCAAGTTTTGCTTCCTTTAGTGCAATGCATCTTACCTGGCCTTCTCTTTCTCACAGCTCCCCCACAGAAGTCTACTCCTTGGCCCCCAACAGGTGAGTGCTGCTACCTCTCTATCTGCTGTGTATTCCCTCTCCTTCTGTCCCTTCTCTGCTACACAGCCCCAGCCAGTAGCTACAGAAGGAAACCATGGAGGGTTCTGGCTGTCCCAGAAACTTTGGCATTCTCCTTAAGGGATAGAGGTGGCACATGCTGAGTGCACAACAGGCGTGTTGCTCATTCTCTCTGCCCAATGGGATAAAGAAAGTCCCAGCTCCTGACCTGGGTTGCTAAATGGCCCTTAGCCTGTCCTTTTGGTAGAGAATGAGGTACTGTCCTGGAACGTTTTTGCTAGAAAGCATTGTCTTGTTCAAGAGCCACAGGGTGGGGACAACAGACACTTTTTTGTGTCATATGCCCTGACTATAGACGGAGGGATTGTTTTGTAAAATGCGTCCTTCAGGAGAATCGCAGCTACCCTCTGGGAACTGGGCCACTTCATTTTCAATGTGGTGGACATTCAAGGGCATGGCTTCCTGTCACTGGCTCTCTAGAAACGATTTGCTTCCCCAGACACAGCCCTTCTCCACATCCTCTGTCCTGATCCCAGATATAGGCTCATGGACCCATCGTCACCCACGCCCCTCCCTTCTAATCCAGTTTTATTTTCCCCTCCAGATTGGTGGCATCCAACAACTATTATCTATGGTAAGCATCTTTGGATTCAGACAAAGCCTCAGCCTTCAGCACGCTAAACAACAAGTCTGGGGAATTTTCCTGGGTCTTGTGTGAAGTCTCTGGCCTCATCCAAGTCAAGGGTTTTCTTTACTGACCACTGAAATTGTACTCTAAGGGAATAAGCTTGTCAGGTTGCTTTTATTTGTAAGTGATAGGAACCCAAAGTCTTATCTAAAAATGAAGTTTTGACTCTCATATCAGGTGTTTATTGTTGGATCAGAAACTTCAGGTACCACTGCATCCAAAAGATCCAATACTTCCAGACATTTCTGTGCCCACTGTTTGTGTGGAAGGCTTCTCCATCATCTTGCTTTTTGTGCATGGAGGAATATAGCATTTATTGGCCCCAAGTCTATATCTCCCCATGAAAAAGAGTTTATCTGACCCCATAGCTCTGGCTGTTAAGGCCTGGGGAGACTCAATTGATCCTGTTGGCCACAGGTGCCTTCTTCAGAGCCATCTGAGTAACCTCATGGCCCAACTAGAGTTATATGTCTAATTCATATTTCATAAGACATGGTGGGAGGAGGATGAGGCTCTTGTCCCTTCTTGTACCTCATAGGATATAGGTTTTGTGTTTTTTAAAAATAGGAATGAGGGTTTCTGTTTCAATAAAAACCAGGGAAGGAGGTTGAGACACAGAGAAAGCACTCTTTAGTTCTGCTTTCCTTCTTTTGCTCTCTATTGGATCGAACCCTCCCGAAGTAGAACCTCTCTGTCCCTGGTGTCATCACAGAAGTCCGAAGCAGGAGTTCAAGGCCAGTCTGGGCTACATGGTAACACTTTGTCTTAAAAATAAAAGAAAAATAAATAAAAGAATCCACTTGATGGAGCAATCCCGAGAGTGTTCCTTATGTTACAGTGAAAATATTCTGTGCCAAATATGGTGGAATGAGCTAACTACTCTCACCACTTCTGGATATTACCTTGTTATCCAGACCTCTCAAGTACCTGAGAAACTCTGTAATAAGGAAGAGGACTTAGGGCCTCTAACATGCTAGACAGATGGCAGTCCTTTGTGCAGGGTTATTTTTGAGATAGGGTCTTGTTTTATGCCCTGGCCAGTATGGACTGTGAGCCTCATTTATGCTTCCCTGTGTAGCTGGAAGATAGGCATGCATCACTGTGCCCAAGCCTTGGTTGAGATACAGTCTTATGAAAATTTTGTCAGGCCTGACCTCAAATTGCAATTCTCTATGAATCTCCCCACTCCTGGGGCTAAAATTGCAGGCATGAACCATAGTACCCAGCTGATTTCTTTCTTTTCTTTGAGAGGCAGGGCTTTCTGGGGTATCATAGGCTAGCCTGAAACTATGCATCCTCAGCCTCAGCCTTCCAGATGAAGGATTCAAGTTTGCACCCATCGTCAGATCAGAGAAAGGATTTAGCCAGATCTGTTAAGCTGATTACAGTATGAAAATCCTAAAACATCCTCCGTTTACTTTCTAGATTGGTTCACGTCAACATCTCCAAGCACTGCAAGTGAGTGTCACATTTTCCACCTGCAGCACAGAATCTGCATTTCTTTGTGCTTTTTCTTTCTTGTTATTTGTTTGTCTTGTTGGAGATTTGAACCCAGGGCTTTGTGCATTCTAGGCAGGCAGTCCACCACTTGAGTCACACAATGAGCCCTTTGTGCTTTAGTTATTTTCAGATATTATTTCATGTTTTTTGCCCAGTGCCAGCCTGATCACAATTCTCCTACCTCTGCTTCCAGCATAACTGGGACCTCAGGAGCTTGTTATGACACCTGGCTTGCTGGTTGAGATGGGGTCTTGATAACTTTTAGCCTTTCTTCAACTCAAATCAGAGCACTCCCAATCTCCTCCTACTGAGTATGGGGGTTACAGGCAAGAGTCAAAGACCTGGATTTCTTAATCTTAAGCGTGGCCCATCATAAAGTTGAACCCACTCCTCAGCCCCCCTCATTCCACACAAACAACCTCTCCCGGTTGTGCCAACCACAGTCTGTACCCGATCTTCACATGCCCTCCATATCCCTCCTGCCAGGAGGATGACCTTAGTTTTCACTAAGGCCTTCTGCTGCTTCATCTAATTCAATGATGTAAGGATTCAAGAAAGTATAGACTTAGAAGATTTTATTTCTTCATTTATATCTGAAGTTTTGCAAGGAAGAATAGAGACATAATCAATGGATAATTTCACACAATCATCCTTTTCTACATAACTTCACACTACAGATATATTTAAAAGCTTTCTGATGCTCTTAAAAGTGATGTGGTTATGTTTGGTTTTATCCAAACATATCTTTATCAGGATCCTTTTTCTTTCTGTTGGTTGCTGGTTGCTGTGATCCCCTCCTCTCCCTCAGTGGAACTTTTCTATGTTTGGTGTCTTCTCCTATATGTGTTGTTACCTTGGGTCATAGCCTGGGCTGAGTGGATTGTCCAAGGTGGAGCTCAAAACCCTCACTCTGTCCTCTAAACATGGCTGTAGGTTGTTGTTAGCAGATTCTAAGCTTACCCCAACTGTGTGTGTTCATCAGACTTTTCAGTGCAGTGACAAAATGAGAGAAATAGCTTAAGAAGAAGATTCATTTCACTCAGTTTCAGTTTTCAGTCCATGTCAGCTGGCTGCATGTTTCGGGAGCCAGGGACAGAGGCAGAACATCATGGCAGAGGGGCCTGGTAGCCAGGCCTGCTAATCTCGTGAGAAGAAGAGACACAGTAAGCAAGAAAGAGACAGAGAAAGACAGAGCAAGAGTGTAAGAGATTGTATGTGTGAGAGAGACAGAGAAAAAGAGAGAGAGATCGGATCAGGAAGGGATGGAGGACAAGGTGTATCATTCCAGGGCATGCACCCCCAGGAACTACTTCCCCTAGCTAGGCCCCATCTTCCAATAATCCATCAAGGGATTACTCCATTGATTAGGTCAGAGTCCTGAGGCTCCAGTAAGTTCTTAATGATTGCATACCAGCTGGGCCCAAGCCTTTGACACATGGGACTTTTGTGGGACTCTTCCATTTCTAATCATAGCACTAAGGCCTTGCAACCCTATGGGGTGCCTGGACTCAGTGACCTAGGTTGGGCAGAAACAGCCAGAGTCACCGCTCAGTCTCCTTTTGGGCTCCTGAGAGAGCCAAGGCTCATGAGTAACTCCACACATTCTAGGAAGACCTGCTGAGATAAAGGCTGAGGTGGGGACTGAAAGATCCCATTATCTCCATGGTCCAGACCCCTGACCAGACTGAGAGACTGGAAACCACAGTGTACAAGTCAGTGAAGTCCAGAGACACAGGGAAAGCTCTTTCTCACCAGAGAATACATGATACCTCACTATGATTTTCACAGCATGTCCCTAAAGACTGGTGATTTCTCCCTCTAGACACGGATTCTGGCTTGGCCCTGAGGCTGGTGAATGGTGGAGATCGGTGTCAGGGCCGTGTGGAGATCCTGTACCAGGGTTCCTGGGGCACAGTGTGTGATGACCTCTGGGACACCAATGATGCCAACGTGGTCTGCAGGCAGCTGGGCTGTGGCTATGGTGTATCTGCCCCAGGAAGTGCCCGGTTTGGACAGGGCACAGGATCCATCCTCCTGGATGACGTGGGCTGCTCTGGGCACGAGTCCTACCTGTGGGATTGTCCCCACCGTGGCTGGCGCATTCACAACTGTGGCCACCACGAGGATGCTGGTGTCATTTGCTCAGGTGGGCAGTCAAGACTTGGGCTCTCATGGGTGTGGGCTTTGTTCTGAAAGAAAGTACTTGTATTTTGAATTTCTCACTGAGTGGTTTTTGTATTTCTTATTTCCCTGTTGTCTTTATAGGACAGAGCTTTCGTGATTTTTAAAAATAGTAATGAGAGTTTCTGTTTCAATAAAAACCAGAACAGGAGGTTAAGACAGAGAAAGCATTCTTTAGCCATAGCCCTGCTTTCCTTCTTTTTCTCTCTGCTGGTTGCTGGCTGCAATTTTCCTTCTGACCCTCCCTAGAAGGAACCTTTCCTCTTCCTGGTGTCCTGTCAGGAGGCTGAGACAGGAGTTCATGGCCAGCTGGGCTACACAGCAAGACTTTATCTCAACAAAAAAGAAGAGGATGTGAGGGCAATCTGTGACATCTGTCACCCCATTGATTGCCAGGGTTGATTTGGCTGATCGGGCTAGCTAGGCGGGTGTTCCTTTCCTCCCTTACTTATTGCGCCATGTGCGTCCCTCTCGAAGCTGTGTGCTCAGTCAAAGAGGACGACCATCCCAGATAGAGGAGGACCGTTCTTCTGTCAAGGGTATATGAGTAGCTGCACTCCACTGCTAGCTAGAACCTCCAAACAAGCTCTCAAAAAAAAAGGAGAGAGAGAGAGAGAAGGAAGGAAGGAAGGAAGGAGGGAGGGAGGGAAGGAAAGAGGAAAGGAAGGAAGGAAGGAGAGAGGGAGGGAGGAAGGAAAGAATCTCTTTATGGAAAAAATTGTTGTATTTTGTGTCATAATGAAAATATTCTGTGTCAAACATTTTGGAATGAGCCACACACTCTAACCTTACTGGACATTAACAGTGTCAATGGGAATCCTCAAGGTTCTGAGAAATCCTATAGTAAGGAAAAGGACATGGTAGCCAAATGCTCTTACACATGAGCCAATCTGGCAGCTCTTTGTGCATTGGTTATTTTTGAGATAGGGTCTTGCTTTATGCTCTGGCCAGCATGGGCTGAGATCCTTGTATTTGTGCTTCCCTGAGTAGCTGGGATGACAGGCACCCATCACTACGCCCACGATCGGTTGATACAGAATTGGTGAACTTTTTGCTCAGGCTGGCCTCAAACTACAGTTCTCCAGATCTCTACCTCTTGAGTAGCTTGGATTATAGGCTTGAGTACTACCTTCAGCTGAATTTTTTGCTGGGAGAGGCAGGACTTACTGGGGTTTTAGGGGTTAGCCTCAAACTGTCCATCCTCTAGCCTCAGCCTTCTGATGAAGGAATGCAGGTGAGCACACCATCCCCATCTCAGGTAAAGAACTTAACCAAGCCTTCTAAACTACTGACCACAGAAGGAAAATTTTATTCACTAAAATCCTAAAACATCGTTCATTTTCTTTCTAGATCAGTTCACTTCAACATATCCCAACACTGCAAGTAAGTGTCACGTTTTCTACCTGAAGCACAGAAGCTGGATCTTTTTCTTTCTTTCTTTCTCTTTCTTTCTTTCTTTCTTTCTTTCTTTCTTTCTTTCTTCTTTCTTTCTTTCTTTCTTTCTTTCTTTCTTTCTTTCTTTCTTTCTTTCTTTCTTCCTTCCTTCCTTCCTTCCTTCCTTCCTTCCTCCTTCCTCCCTTCCTCCCTCCCTCCCACCTTTCTTTCTTTCTTTCCTTCATTCCTTCCTTCCTTCCACCCTCCCTTCCTTCCTTCCTTTCTTGGTGTTACTGGGGTGTGAACTCAGGGCCTTTTGCTTTCTAGGCAAGCACTCTACACTGAGCCATTTCTGCTTTAGTTATTTTTCGGATAGTGACTCATGTTTTTGGCCCAATGTCACCCTGGATCACAATTCTCCAACTTCTGTCTCCAGCATAACTGGGACATGAGAAGCTTGTCATCATGTCTACCTTGTTGTTTGAGATGGGGTCTCACTAGCTTTTTGCCTAGATTCATTTCAAATTGTGATATTCACAATGTCTACCTACCGAGTAAGTGGGGTTACAGGTGAGAGTGCTGGGGACTTAGATTTCTAAACCTTCAGTCTGGCCTATCATAAGTAGACCCCTTTTCACGAGTCTTCAGTCCACACAAACAACCTTCCCTGTCTGCACGCTTACTCTTCATGTCCCTCCTGCAAAGAGGTTGACTTTTGTTTTCATTAAGGTGTCTGTTGCTGCTTCATTTAATTCAATGACATAAGTATTCAAAAAAGAATAGACTTAAAGGATTTTATTTCTTCAAGTACCACTGAGGCTGGCCTGATATTGAGGCAGAATATCATGGGGAAGGGCCTGATGTAGCAGCACTGCTCATTTCATGATGGCCTGGAGAGGAGCATGGAGCAGAGAGATAGATAGAAGAGACAGACAGAAGCACAAAGATGTTGAGTACAAGGAATATATATATCTCTCCAGGCATGCACCCAAGGAACCATTGAATGGATCACTCCATTGATTAGGTCAGAGTCCTGAGGCTCAGTAACATCTTAGTGGTTGGGTACCAGCTGGGGCCCCAGCCTTCAACACATGGGATTTTTGAGGGACACTTCTGATTCAAGCCGTAGCACTAAGGCCTTGCAAGAAGACTGGGATTCTCCCCCACCGAGGTTGGGCAGAAACAGCCTTATATTCACTGCTCCATCGCCCTCTGGCTCACAGTCTCTGAGAGAGCCAAGGCTCATCAGTACATCACACTCCATGCAGACTTCCTGAGAGAGGGGCTAAGATAGGGGCTGGAAGATACTTGTGTTATCTGCTCAGGTGAACATACAGTGGGTGTCTATTACAGTGGGTGTTTTCATCAAAAAGTGCTCCTCTCCCCACCCCCAAGCCTCTCTAGGAAATGGATATCCCTGAGACCTCCACAGGGAACTGGCATCACCAGTTGTCCCCATTGTATGGATTTGGGGCCTGTGTGCCTCTTAGGCCTTGGGCTGGTCCTACAGGAGATGAGGGATTAACGGACCTTAAGGATGTAAGAATCATTGTCTTCAACTCCTTTTCTGGAGACTAGATCTGGGGTTTATGTTTGCTACATGGCTCTCCAAGTACCTCTCAGGGAGCCGTTTAGAATGGTGTGGAGAGAATCGGCCTCCCACATTTCTCTTGCTCATCACTCTGAGTGGCTGGTCCTACAGAGTCTGACTCACGTTCCTTCTCTCTCACAGCTTCTCCAAGTTACACAATGCCAGGTGAGTCTGGTCTTTCCTAGCCTTGCAATGTTTTCCCCCTGGATTCTGCTCTCTCTCCTGACTGGAAGGAAGAGAAGTAAGCTGTCTTCTCAGGAGAGATTGCTCTCTGAGCCTTGGGAATCCATTCAGATGACTAGCTGAGTTCCCAGCACCCTCAATCTTGCCTGTGGCTCAGCCTCGAGGAGTCCTGTGGCTGCTGTCTTTACCACTGATGGTGCTTGTTCCCAGCAGTGCCAGGTAGAAGGATGCTTTGGGCTCCCACTCATGGGAGATGGAAAACTGTGCCTGAATTAGATTATGGGGCTTAGTGATCTTCCTTTTAGAAACATGACCTGGTAAAACTTGTGTACCTCTAACATATAATTGTCTAATAAGGAATCCATTCATGACTGGGGTGGTGGTGTACTCTTGTAATCCCAGTACTTGGGAAGATGAGTTAGGTGGATCAAATGTTCTAGTCACCCTGTTTCAAAGAAAACCAAACTAATCAAAACAAAAAGAGAGACAAAATGGTCTCAGGTGGTGGGTGTAATCCCCAGAGTGTTCTCTGTGACATGATGAAAATATTTTGGGTCAAATATGTTGGGATGCACTATATAATGTGACAGTGTCACCTGAAGTGGTGAAGGTTCTGAGAATTCTTGTAGGAAGGAAAGGATCTTTAGTTTGTTGGATGCAGGGCTTGTGGGGTAGTTCAGGCTCATGTCAAACTCCTGATCCTCCTGCCTCGGCCTTCCAAGTGCTGAAGTGCAGGTGAGCACTGCCCTTCTCAGCTCAGGGAAAGGATTTAGCCAGGTCTATTAAACTAATGACCATGAAATGAAAATTTTATCTGTTAAAATCCTAAAACATCTTCACTAGGCGACTTCTAGAATTGTCGCCTCCGATAATGACAACTGCTGACAGTAAGTTTCACATTTTTCACCCAAGTACATGACCCGGATTTCTTTCTCTTCTGCCCTCCCTCCCTCTATCCCTCCTTTTCTTCCCTCCTTTGTTTCTTTGTGGTACTAGCACTAGAACTCAGGGCCTTGCTCTTGTTAGGTAGACACTCTACCACTTGAACCACATACCCAGGCCTTTCTGCTTTAGTTATTTTTCAGGTAGGGTCTCACATTTTTGCCAAGAGACAGCTGGACCATGGTCCTATTTCCTGTGCCTCACACATAACTGGGATCTCAGAATCTTGTCACCATGCCCAGTTCGTTGGTTGAGATGGGGTCTCACTAACTTTTTGCCTGTGTTTGCCTCAAACCACCATACTCCTGATCTCCACCACCTAAGTGAGGTTACAGGTGTGTGCCACCACACTTACCTCAGACCCTCAGCCTGGCCCACCATAAAATGGACCCACCCCCAGTCTTCCTCAGTCCTCACATATGACCTACTCCTGGTGTGCCCAGTGTACTTGGTCTGCACACACACCTATCATGTCCTTCCTGCAGGGAGGACCTTGTTTTCAGGAAGGTGTTCCATGTCATCTTCATTTAAATCAGTAAGACATAAACTTGTGTAATAGACTCAAAGAATTTGATATCTGGAACATTCCAAAGCTATGGAAGAAGGACGAGAGAAGTGAATAATTAAGTGAATAAGATAATAAGTGAATCATTTCACAAGTTTTGATACTTTTCTGTATAATTCTTCAGTATGGCTATGTTTTAAACTTTCTAATGGCACTTTTTTGTGCCATTAATTCTTTTCTTTCCATCATTTAAAATGCTTGGATTTTTTTCTATTGTATAGCTATGCCATGAATTATTTATTTGATGTGTAATTGTTAGACATGTAAGTGGTTTATATTTTATAACTATAAATGATTCTGTGATGAATATTTTTACAACTAAATCTTTCACATTTTCTCAATTTTTTTGTAGTAGTGAGGTTTGAACTTAGGGGCTGGCACTTGTTAAACAGACACTCTACCACTTAAGCCATGTCCCCAGCCCTTTTTTGCACTAGTTATTTTTCAGTAGGGTCTCTTGTTTTTGCCTGGTGGCCTTTGATAGCTTCCTCCTACCTATGCCTCCTGAGTAGCTGGGATTGGGCTGGAAATGTGAACCTCTAGGTTTGCCTTGTTTGTTGACATGGGTTCTTGCTAACTTTTTGTCCAACTTGGCCTCAAACTATGATCCTCCTGATCTCTGTTACCTAAGTAGCTGGTATTACAGGCATAAGCCTCCACACATGGCCTTTCTTTTAAGTTTTTTTCTTTAGCACAGAAATCCTTCAGGGCCTCCACTGCCTCCTTGCTATCTGCCTTAAAGTCACCACACCTGTCATACCTAGACCCCTCTGCTTAGAACAGCCCTTCTTCTCTCTTTGTCAGGCCCTGGCTATCTGCCCTTTTTTCCCCCACTCAGTCTGGGTCAGGAGCCAAGCCTCTGGCTCCCCTCCTTCTCTGAACTTCCCTCCATCCCAGCTCATTCCATGACATTTTGTCTTTTCCTCTACCCTATGAAGTCCAGAGGGAAAGGCCTGGGTCCAGCCCCTCACTATAAACTCAGGATTGGCACAATGTCAGGTACAGACAAGTCAACATTCAACAATTTTGTCACAGATTCCAGAAAACTCATTCTGATCTTGTCTCTTTGTCAACAGCTTCTATTCTCAGCACCGGCTACCCAAACTGTAAGTTCTGAGCTCCTTGACAAGTCTGTGGCAGAGATACCTGAAAGTCCCACTCCCTTTCCCCTCAGTGACAAGGATACTGTGGGGGTTTGACGAAAATGATGGTGGCTTCCCTAAGCAAAACCCCCCAGAGGGTGTCCTCCCTGACTCTCAGGGTCTTGGCCACCTCTTCTGGGTTTCTGCCTTGGAAATTGTGTGGAGAATTCCCCTCAGGTGACTGTGAAGTGTGTTCTGGGGTTCACCAGAATTTCCATTTTGTCTGACAACAGACTATTCCTGTGGAGGCTTCCTGTCCCAACAGTCAGGGCAGTTTTCCAGCCCGTTCTACCCCGAGAATTATCCGAACAATGCCAGATGCGTGTGGGACATCAAGGTCCCAAACAACTACCGTGTGGTTGTCATCTTCAGAGACGTGCAGTAAGTTTGTGGGTGGAAAGCAGAGTGTATTGGGGACCTCAGAGAGATTTAGAAAAAGTTGTGTGATGCTTAGAAATTCAGGCAAGATATTTGTTCAGGTGATGTTTTAAAATGTGGGCTCAATTTTTAACCTAGCATAGCAACAGTCCCTGGGGACCAAAGGAGCAGATTAGGACTAAGAGCCCTGAAGTGGGCAAGGGCTCTTGCTTAAAGTCCCAGGTCTGTCATTAGTTTGCTGTGTGACCATGGGAAGTCACTCAATTTTCCTGAACCTCAGTTAAAAGAAGGGAACAAAATGCCTGGTTTCCTTATCTCTTTGATTACCAAGAAGACAACAGAGTTTGTGAAAACACTTGGAAAATGTTACCCAATGGGAGAAAGCCATTAGGATTAGAGATAATGATAGTTTTAGGAATAATGCAAACAATCCTATAAATGACTGCACCTGTTTTGTTGGTACCTTTCCTGGCCACTATCTCTCCTGAAGAACTTGGGGTATCCCTTCCTCATGTACTTACATGTGGAAATCAGTGCCTTAAGCACAGGAGACATGTCCCAAAGTGCATTGTACATGGTCTATCCAGGGAGGAGGGTAGCCAAGCCAACTGTGAGGAAGCACCAATGTTTCCTGGAATCCTGTGTTTTCTCTTGGCTTCTGTTTGCAGTGGTCTTGGAAGTCTCTGCCTTATGAATTCATCTGGGGTTTTGCAAAAGATACAGTATTTGAGTGCCCTTGTCACTATAGTACAAAGGCATGAGATCCCATGGGCAAAGGCTGCTCCTGGCTGGTTCTTTAAATGACTTACCACTAACAGTGCCCACCCCCATCTGTGAAATTTTACACATCACTTTTCCATGCATTTTCTTAGGTGAGCCTCACAACAGCCCTCTTTCATATACATGGACAGGTTTGTTTCACTTTGTAACTAAGAAAGCTGAGTGTCCAAGAGGTTATTTGACTTGGGCAATACTTACTTATTTCCTCACTATGAACCCATGGCTATTTATTTTATTTTGGGGGAAAACTAGACTCTGAGATAGAATAGTCTAAATTGGGAAGTGAGTGGGAGAGAGGCTACAGACTTGTTATGTGTGCCCTCTCAAAAGGCAGAATCAAGACCTAGCATGGCAGTCCTAGGAAGGTGAATCCCCCTCGATTAGGGAAATCATCTATTCTTTTCAATCTGTTCTTTGTCAGGGATTCTAGCACAAAGGTTAGACCTCTTCCGATTTGACCTCTGTATCATATTCTGAACAGAAGTGAAGCTGAAACTGTGTGTTTTGTCTCTGCAGGCTTGAAGGAGGCTGCAAATATGATTACATTGAGGTTTTTGATGGCCCCCACCACAGTTCCCCTCTCATCGGTCGAGTTTGTGATGGGGCCCTGGGCTCTTTCACCTCATCATCAAACTTCATGTCAATTCGCTTCATCAGTGATGGCAGCATCACACGGAAAGGGTTCCGGGCTGAATTCTACTCTGGCCTTGTCAATGATACCACCAGTAAGTTACCTTGTGAAAACGCTTGGACAGGACTGGGTGCCTGCTGCTGCTCAACTGTCCTGTGGTCGTGAAGTTAAAAATTAAAGCAGCACTATCAAGATCCCAATAATTGATTTCCTGTTGAAAGGGATCATAAGCATGGGCCATGGGGACCCTTGCTGCCCAAAACAAGGTTAAAGGCCAGCACTGGTTGATTGGAAGTGCGTTGGACTTAATGTAGTCAGCAGAGAATAAGTAGAAAGTGTAAGGTGATACTTTTGATAGATAGAAGTCAGTGCCAAAGGCAGAGGTCACCACCTGACTTGAAACTTGGTGATCTTCTCAAAGTATAGGACATTAGCTATGTCATGAGATTTAATGCATTTGGCTTCTATCTGAAGACTGACAGAGCTGGCCATAGCCACCTCC